ATTCAAGCCTGCTATATACGAAGGACGAATAATTGTAGAAAGGATTTAACGTAATTTAAAATTTTTATCGTGTCAAACTAATTCAAACCTACTACTTTTTGTAAGAAATAATAGAAAAATATTGAACGTGCATAATTTAGAAATAGACGAATGAATCGCAGCTCAAACTAAACTCAAACTTGGTCAAATTGATTCAAACCTTCTATACCAGTAAGTATTTTTTTCAAACCTACTACTTTTTGTAAGAAATAATAGAAAAATATTGAACGTGCATAATTTAGAAATATACGAATGAATCGCAGCTCAAACTAAACTCAAACTTGCTCAAATTGATTCAAACCTTCTATACCAGTAAGTATTTAGAGTAATATGTAAATTACTTAGCATATGAGCAAAATTCGAATAATTGAATGAGGAGTACATAATTTAGAGATAGACGAATTAATCGCAGTTCAAACTAAACTCAAACTTGGTCAAATTGATTCAAACCTTCTATACCAGTAAGTATTTAGAGTAATATGTAAATTACTTAGGATATGAGCAAAATTCGAATAATGGAATGAGGAATACGTCATTTAGAAATAGACGAATTAGTTCAAAACGAGTTCAAACTTCCTCAAACTAATTCAAACCTACTGTATAATAAATTTAATATTATTTCGCACAAATAATGAAAAGATATGAACTGAGAAATAAATAATTTAAAAATGTACGAACTACTTACAATTCAAATTTCATTCAAACTTCGTCAAACCAATTCGAACCTTCTGTCCTACATATAATAAAATGATAAAGTAAGCTTTATTTTCGGAATGAAAATAAAATTCAAACTTAACTGAAACATTGCTCATCGTACATAACACAGAGTAGTACGAGAATAAATAAATTATTAAAAAATACAGCAGTCGTTCAAACCTCACATTCCCTCTCTCGATTTCAGTATCACGAAACATCATTATCGTTTAACACTTTCACATATGCCAAGTTCTTCGCTTTCCTAACACCTTTCCCTAAAGTGTTTTGCTTCAGATGCTACCTGTTTGAAAACTTGCTTTTCAAATTATCTCGTACGAAGAGCAAGGTGATTCGCAATAATAACACTGGAATAAAATCGAGTTTATCCACTCTTATGCTCTTCGTACATCTTCCCGTTATCTTACAAAATGACGTAATTTTATGTCATGAATGTATCAGCTTCTCAGAAACTACATGACTGACCTCGATCAAGTTGATCACATAGATCCACGCTCGCAGCAAAAATCCCTGTACCAACAAAAATCTCAAATCGCAAATCTCGACGAAGGTAAATCAAAATTAAACAATCTAAATCCTTTTTGACAAAATTTCTGAGTCCAATATAGAATAAAACTACACCGTATAATGCGTGGACTTGATTTTATTAGTGTGAATGCAAGTGTGTGAGGTCGAGTAATGGCACGAATGTAGATATGTATGTTTATAGAAGTGCGAGTGGAAGATCCAGAATGTTGTGCAGTTGCTATGAATCAGTGTCAATATGTTATAAGGAAGTTCAGTTTGTTATAAGAAGCGTGAGAATGAACAATTATGATATAATACCTGTGTAAATTATAATTTTATAATAAATATACGATTGTTATACAACAAACTCACATAATGAACCAATAATTCGATAATAAAATTTGGTCTCACAGTGTGCAGTAAAATAAATTATCCCGCAATTAGGTGCTCGATTTTAATAACCACCGTGTGCCGAAAATAATTTGACCCTCTTTCACGGTAATCCCGTGTACTTAACACACTACCGTTAGAGAGTCTCGAAACTCGTTCCTCGAGTCGACCCTCGTTTTATGGAGATCTATGTATATTAAAGACAGACCGCTCGTTAACCCAGCGATCCAGAATTCGCAGACGCGACCGGTTATTTTTACGAACACCGTTTCGCATCGGCTTCCTGCCGGCGTTATCTCGATTATTTCTCGTTGCATAAGGTCACGTATGAAAATCGCGACACCTTTCGTCCCCGCTGTATAATCGAGCCTCATGTCCGGGACACGTGAAGCCGCGGGATAGGAGGTTACGTGAGCATTCGTCGTCGTGATTGCTCGTCATTATCATCGCGGGTAATTAAAATGGCCGGGATCCTGGGTGTCGCGGGTCGTTGAAGAGCCAGGTAAGAAGGGAACGAAGTAAACGACGACGACAAGGTGACACGGTGCAACACGAGCGATATGGGGTCGCTAGCCCCTTGACTATGGCAGATTTTGATACGCAGCGGCCGTACCATACGGCAGGAATTCAGTTACGATGTGCGCCATTTTTGTGAAAACAAGCGCCCTCCGTGTCAGAAAGCCAAATTACGTCGGCGCCTATAGGTGCCCTGCGTGTCACAAACGCAAAATTTCTAAGGGCCCATAGGCGTCCTCCGTGTCACAAACCCAAAATTTCTAAGCGTCTATAGGTGTTCTATGTGTCACAAACGCAAAATTTCTAAGGGCCCATAGGCGTCCTCCGTGTCACAAACCCAAAATTTCTAAGCGCCCATAGGCGTCCTCCGTGTCACAAACGCAAAATTTCTAAGGGCCCATAGGCGTCCTCCGTGTCACAAACGCAAAATTTCTAAGCGCCTATAGGCCCCCATAGTAGCCAAGGGGTTAATAAAGATTCCATGGTCGAAGGGGACACGGGTCGTTAAGGGAGCGTCGCGGAAAGGGGACGACGGGTCAAGTGGCAAGGAAATTACGCGATGAATATTCGATAAGGAGCTGGAATTCCGTCGAGGTTCCGTTGAGCAACAATTAGCGAACGGTAACTCGGCTATCGACGAGGGGAAAGAGCCATACACACACGACAAGCGACGAGAAAGCGGCCATAGTGACTAATACACAGTTGTAAACACGATGCAAATGACGCAACCATGCGAATCGGGACGAATCATGTCGGACAAATGGACACACTCCGGGTAAATATTGATCATCGATGGTTCATCCCTTTTGTGACGTTGGAATACGTATATTAGGAGAGGGACAAAGGTATATATATTAGGAGCGTCCAGGTTCTACGAGTACGTTAATGAGGCTCGTGGAGTATGCTAACAACCCGTGCTTTAGAGATGGAGATGTTAGAGATTAAGATAAGGACAGGATTTGTACGAGGGGAGAGGTTAAGCGAGTACTTTGGACAAAGGCGCGGCGACTGACCATCCCTCTAGCGGTGAACAGAGGAAGCTCGCTATTGGTACATTCTCTTACTCGGGTTATGCAATTTTGTGCCTAAGTTTGGATATTATTGCGACGTTTTATGATAAAAAAAGAAGAAATTAACGAAAGTTTTAGATGTTATCTTCCTATTAGGATGGGGAATAATTTGAGTGAAAAATTGTGTCGATTCGCGAGGAAGATTTTAATTTGCGGAATTAAAAGTTTTGTAGGTGACGAGGTTAAATGGTTTTAAGAGGGCGGAGGAGGAAGGAAGATCGTTATAATTTTCTCGCTTGTTCGCACTGAAAAATGCAAATGTGGGCGCGTAGGGGTGACAGGCTGTTTATACAGGTGAATAAACTGACACTAATATGTGTAGCCTTTTACGCTTGTACACTAAGCGTCTCTCGTTCAACGGTACCATACCCGACGAATACATGCTCCGTGTGGATATAAAGAATATTTCTTTCACTAAGTTTGCGAAGAATAACTGAACCGTAATGAAACAGTCTGCTCTTTCTTTTCATTTATTTCGTAGAGCGATTATACGCAACGAGATATTCCATTATAATTACATAAGCTTCGCCGTAGAGGAAAAAATAGCCGCGATTGATTAATTATCATGTTGTACAGTTGCGGAATTAAAACATAATGTACGTTCATGGACTCGTGAGTATTTCTAACAATTCAGACCAATTCCAATGTTAATATCTCAGTTAACTGTTCGCGGTGTCTGAAAATTCGTAGCTTCGAAGATTCGAAGATTCGAAAGTTCAAAGACTCGATAATTCGATGATTCATACACGCTAAAATTGGCAAACCCAAAAATTAAAAAAATTAAAAAATTCGGAGATTCGAAACTTCGAATAGAAAATTCCACGATTCAAAAATTGAAAAATTAAAAAATTGAGGGGTTAGAAAATTAAAAAATTCGAAGATCCGAAAATTTGAGAATCTAAAAATTCTAAGGAACAAGAATTAAAAAATTTAAAAATACAAAGATTAAAAAATTTGAGAACAAAAATTTCAAGGCTTAAAAATTTGCAAATTTAGAAATATAAGATTTGGAAACGTGAAAACCCAAAAATTCCAAGAATCAAAAGCTCAAAAATCCGAAAATTCGGAGACTCAAAATTTAAAAGGCACCGAAATTTGAAAATACAAAAATACAAAGCTTCACAAGTTCAAAAGCTCAGAATTCGAAGACACGGAAACTGGACGATTCAAAAACCTAAAATATCCAAAAAAAATCAGAGAAACTCGAAATTGTGAATCTCCATAAATCATACCTGACCTGCAGCACCGATGTTAGCATTTGCAATTAATCTTCGCGAGGGATCGGCATCGATATTACAATTCCCTGGGTACCGGCGTTACTCCGCGGCTCGGATAACCTAACCCAGCAACTTTCTTTTCTAAAATGTCAATTGCACCCGACGAGTCAATAGCAAAAGATACTTGTGAACGCCGACGGCGGTTCCAGAAAACGTAAGAAGCGAAACGCTGCTCGGCGCGGCCAATCTCCGTATCCATCTGTAGGAACCGTGGCGGGCTAATTACACGTTAACAAGCTTCGACAATGCGATCCGTTGGCGGTAGCAGGAAGCAGAAACACGCGTCCCGGGGATTTTTCTTCGACGCCCGTTTCCTTTCGTTCGTTCACCGATCGAAAACGAACGCTTTCTCGTGCCGCGAGAATGGAACACGTGAGAGAAACAGACTATGTCCAGCTTCACGTATGGCGCTTCAACACGCGCGGATTGCAACCACGATCGCTGGTAACATGGAGGAAAAGAGAAAATAGCAGCAGGCTGTACTCACCGGTTCTGAGAGGTAGGACTCCCACAATTCCCTAAGGTCGCTGCTTCCCACGTCGTAGAATTCCATGATCCTATGCTCGCTCGATCGTTCCTAGTGCCGTTCCGTTGCCAGTCAATGGATCGCCGTACAGTCTGCCCATGGAGGATAAAGAGTATCAGAAGAACACGGACACGATCTCTCCTCGAGGATCCATTGTCTTCCAAGGATACCGGCAGGCCGACGCTTTCTGAAGGCAAAACGTTCGCCAGAGTTGAACGATCGGTATATAATACCGCTCCAAAGTAGCTCGGGATTCCTTTATTTTTTTATCGCACATCTTTGTCGCTATAGCGTATATAGTACTTTCAATTTGCTGTTTCCTATTTAATTTTATTTATTCCTTTGTCTTTATTTCTTGTTCGTTTTTCGAAAGATTTGGTTTTTCTAGTTACTTTTAGTATTATAGGGAGATTTGTTTAGAAATCTTTTTATTTATTTTTACCGACTGCACGATATTTGTTTGTTTATTTTTATTTATTTTTATTGTTATTTCGAATTTTGTTTATCTTTGAAAGATTTGACTTTTCTAGTCATTTTTATTATTATAGGGAGATTTGTTTAGAAATCTTTATATTTATTTTTACCGACTGCACGATATTTGTTTGTTTATTTCTATTTATTTTTATTGTTATTTCGAATTTTGTTTACCTTTGAAAGATTTGACTTTTCTAATCATTTTTATTATTATAGGGAGATTTATTTAGAAATTTTTTTACTCATTTCTACCGATGTCATGATATTTATTTGTTAATTTTTATTTATTTTTATTGTTATTTCGAATTTTGTTTACATTTGAAGGATTTCGTTTTGTGGTCAGTTTCTTTTTATTATAGAGAAGTTTGTTTAGAAATTTCTTAATTTATTTCTACCGATTTCACGATGTTTATTTGTTTATTTTTATTTACTTTTATTGCCATCTCGAATTTTGTTTACGTTTAAAGGATTATCGTTTTTATTACAAGGAGATTTATATAGACATTTGTCATTTATTTTTATTGATGTCGCGATATTTGTTTATTTATTTTTGTCGATTTTTATAGCTATTTCGAATTTCGTTTATTTTTCAAAGGATTCGATTATGGGTTAATTAATATTTTTACCTTGACGTTTATTTATGTATTGATTAGCTATTTCTATTGTTATCGTACTTTCGTCTATTTTTTAATATTAGACCTACTATGACCGGTGGATGGAAAAATGAAAGAAGCTTAAAAATTAAAAAAGAAAAAGAATTAAAACAGAAGAAATATTGAAAAATTGATTATTAAACATATAATACATACAAAATTGTATACCAAAGCAAAATCATTGAATGGGGAATATTTAATGGGAAATTTGCAAAGTCTAAAATTAGTTGAAGAAAAATTAAAAAATTTTTATGGTAATATTTAATGGAAAATTTGCAAAGTCTAAAATTAGTTGAAGAAATAAGTAATAAAATCAGAAGAATATAATTATTCTATATTAATCTTCCGTATTAACTTAAAATATTAAAAATATTCGAAATACGTTGGAAAACATTTTGACATGCACGAGAAATATGATACATACGTTCATAAATTAAACAGAAGCTTACACTACCAATCGTAGCAACTTTCGATAGACAACTGAAATTTATAGTTTACTGACTGCAGAAGAAAACACCGGTAAGTACAAACTCTCCGTATATAAAACTCGCCTTAATGGTTAACACAAATCTCTCTAACTATCCTTCATGCTCCGATCGTATTAATTTAAATCCGACAAAATATCCGAGAAAACGCTTGAAAATGCCGTGGAAACGTAATCCCCCAAACACATAAATTAAACAGAGACACACTTTCAATTTTAAAAACTTTTAATAGACAATTTAAATTTATAGCTCACCGAGTCCGCAAGAAAATAGCAAGTGCAAGCTCTCTCTATATATAAAATTCGTGTAATACTTAATGCAAATCTCTCCAGTCGCCTACATACACACAAATGCATTTCCGTGACTAAAATTGACTCCATTTCCGCGTATTCCATCGCGATCGCTTCCAATTAACCATCGGACGTGTCACTGATAATTTACAACGGTCATTAATTTTCCTCCTTTTTCCCTCTTTTTTCTATTTTTTCCTTATCTCTATATGGGTCAATGGCGACTGGGACTTTTTCTGTATCACTTACAATTAGTTTCCAAGTTTTTCCTTCGTTCGGAAGTCAAAGGCGCAGAAAAATGGCCGAAGAGAAATTGAATGGATAATTTCCACGCGGATGGACGAGTGGTAACGCGTTGCGAGCATGCTTCGGCATTTAATACGTTCTGTTGTTCTAGCGTTGCAACGCGATGCAACGACTGCACCGAGGCTTGTTGCACACTGTAACGAGATCAATGGACCTGTCCGTACGAGTTAACTACACTGTTCGCGGGAACGGAAGAAGAATCGAACGCGAAATGAATAGCCACGAGTTAACGTTGGAAAACAATAGTGAATTTTCTTAGAGAAAAGGAATCTTCCTTTGAGGGTTTCACTGCGTTGGAGGAAAATATTTTTACGGGATACCCGTTGAATTTTTATTTGCCCGATCTCGAATTTGTTCGATCACGAATCAGTGTCGCCCTAAATTTTTTAAAATTCTTTCATTCGGAATATTTTTATTGTAATTCGATTGAAGGTCGATAAGATGGACTTATCAGCTAGAAATTTGAAAGACAAAGCGAGTGGAAGATTTTACCTGAAATTTATTAATTTAAAATATTTAATAGGCCCACAGAAGAAAGATTGGGAAGAAAAGGTAATATATTCAATTTACACTTGGGTCTCCTAGAATTTTTTAATGCGAGATACGTATATATATTTTAATTATTACTCGAGCAAATTAATAAAGATTTAATTTATGAAATTGTATGCAAATTTTTAATTTTACATCGAAGCTTTGGTAAATAAACGTGTATTATTTTAATATTGTTGTTTAGATAGACTTATCAGCTAGAAATTGGAAAGACAAAGCGAGTGGAAGATTTTACTTCAAATTTATTAATTTAAAATATTGAATAGGCCCACATAAGAAAGATTGGGAAGAAAACGTAATATTTTCAATTTACACTTGGGTCTCCTAGAATTTTTTAATGCAAGATACGTATATATATTTTAATTATTACTCGAGCAAATTAATAAAGATTTAATTTATGGAAATTGTATGCAAATTTTTAATTTTACATCGAACCTTGGTAAATAAACGTGTATTATTTTAAACATTGAATACATTGCTACTCTACGTGCTCAAGAAGACTTGGAAACTGATAACAAATCCACTAGATAAATCGGGTATCACGCGTTCGTACTTATCTGAGCTTTGAAAAAATGTGCACTTTCATTCACAATGAAAGAATCGATTCTACCAAGGGGGGTATTAAAAGCTATTAATGATATCTAATTTGGAAAGATTTCGGATTGTGGCGTTCGTTTAATGCTCTTTATTGGCGCGTGCATGCTAATTTACCCCCGCAGTCCGAATGGAACCATAAGGTCAGGTACAGTTCTTCTACCCTCGTCGATACTAATTGCCGGCTAGCGCATTACAAATTCGTAATTGCGGTCGTTAACAGGGTTAAGTATCGAGTTAAGTACATCGTTCTCTGAAATAAAAGAAGCATGAGAACGTAACGAATTACGGTCATCACTCGAAAAGAAAGAACGAAATTTCCACGCGTTTCTATACTAATTTCTGCGATTCGTATCCCACGTACACCGACCTCGTTCAAAATCTTCATTGTTACGAATCACGATTCACAGTTTCAGTTGCTATTAATTCAGACGAAACTGACTTTCGTTGTAACCATACGTTTCTCAAATTATTGCAAATTATCAACCTCGATATGGAAGTCAATTAGGTGTTTCTTATGCAAATTATGGATGTACTGCAGTACCAAATTTTGAAGCAATATTAAATTACGAAAAGGAATATAACAATTTTAGACACAGACGAGATTTGTCTTAATAAAATATTTGAATGATTTTTCACACAAATTAAAATTCATGTTAATACTAATTTGATATCAGAAAATATTGAAATAGTTGAAAAGAAAATTGGGAACAATTAAAATCACTAAACAAAGGATTTTAACGCAAAGAAGAATATTTAAATAAATTATACAAAATGGTAGAACATAAAAATCCTATTCCAAGACTAAAGAAGTTAAAAAAAAATATTAAACTAACTAAAAAAAATCAGGAATTATTAAAATCACTGTATACAGGTTTACAACATACAGAAGTCAATTTCTACTAAGAAAAGAATATTGAAAAAATTATACAAAATGGTAGAACATAAAATTCCTATTTCAAGATTAAATAAGTTAAAAAAAATTATTAAACTAACTAAAAAAATCAGGAATTATTAAAATCACTGTATACAGGTTTACAACATACAGAAGTCAATTTCTACTAAGAAAAGAATATTAAAAAAATTATACAAAATGGTAGAACATAAAATTCCTATTCCAAGATTAAAGAAGTTAAAAAAAATGATTAAACTAACTGAAAAAAATCAGGAATGATTAAAATCACTGTATACAGGTTTACAACATATAAAAGTATAATTCCTACTAAAAAAGAATATTAAAAAAAATTATACAAAATGGTGGAACATAAAAATCCTATTCAAGACTAAGGAAGCAATAAAAGGTCTTAAAATAATTGAAAAAAAATCCGGAATGATTAAAATTACTAGGTACAGAGTTACAACACAAGAGGGAGCAAGTTGATATAAAAAAGAAGAGTTTTGAACGATCGAATCGAAATTTCCAAACAGCGAAGGCCTCGAGAGGGCTCTTTATGGCTTAGCGTCTAATGTTTGCCGGTTATATTTGCACAATTCCGGCAATTATCAGCAGCTGCGGGTACATTAGCGAGGTCTGTTATTCTTCCTGAATACACGTTGCCGAATATGCGTCAAAAAGACGATCCGTCGTCACCCGACAGACTTTCAAACAGAAAACTGTTCCCCCGAATCCGCTCATACTCGTTTTATCTCCGTCCCGCAAACGGATCCAAACCGATCGTCTGTCTCGTGTCCGACCTTTTACTCGACTGGAAAGGATTCCACGTGATCGTCGATATCAATCAGAACCGGTATCTCAAGGAAAGAATCGAACGCGAAGCTTCGCGACCATCGTGGCTCTTCACGAAAATCGGCGAATATTGGACGAAATACGTTTGCCAGCTAGGCACGTGTCCAGTGCCTATCTTCGATCGATAACAGGATCGAGATAACGAGCTTTTTCCCCAAAGTATGAAGTCAGACACACCGTCGAATGTTGCTCGAATGGAATGGCAACGTGAATCACGGAATCGTTGATTTTATCGATCGAGTCTCCGATAAATTTTGAATCGAAAAATTCCTCGATCGAAAAATTTCTAAATAAAAAAAAAAAGATAATTTTCGCGTGAGTTTGTTGAGTAAAAAAGAATCTTTAAATGAAAGATATAAATCTTTAAATTTAAATTTCCTGTTTATCTTTGAAATAGTTTTTGCTATTAACTTTAGTATTCTACCCTCGAGAAGATTTGAGGTTATGGCAGATATATAGGAGTGGTGGAAAAAATTTATTGGCCCGGGTTCCATTCGCCCATTCAAAAGATAAATTCTTACAAATCGGACGGCACACCTATAAGGAAAATCTTGATATCTTGTCTGATAGATTACGTTCGTAAAAATCTGGCTCCCCGAGTTAATTTTCGTCCTTGAGTCAGTGTTTATATCCAAGTGGGCAGCAAGCGAGCGATATGAAATTGACGCTCTATCAAACGCGATCAATAGAGTATATACGTAGTTAATTAACGCTTAATAGAGAACCGTCTGATAGTCTTGTGTCTGATGTAAGGGTCACGTTCGAAGATGAATTCATATCGCGACAAAGCTGTCACGTTTCGTTTTACAGAGTTGTAAAACACATTGAAATATATGTGAGAAACTCGATAGCCTTTTTGTATGCAAATATGTCGCAACGCTCGAGATAACGTTTTAAAAAACATCAGCTAACGTTTATCTATGCTAACGCGATGCCGGCCGTGTGAACCACCCTTTAACGCGAGACAACGCTTTCAAACCGAATGAAACGCGCCTCTCCTGCCCGCATTCGACTTCCACACAACGCAGCCGGTATCATCATTAACGTTAGTTTCACATACCCATTAAACGCCTGCATGTCGCACCGTGTCCTGTTACGAACTGTTACTTCCATCATAATTACCCGTAAAGCGAACGAATTTTCGAAAAATATCAACATACACAAATTCCGTGCAAGTAACGTTGCTAATAGAACGTAGTTGCAAAAAGAAATATCGAAGAGTTAAGTGAAGATAGGATTACAGATGGATTGGCGCGACACGCGACAAGTGGTTGTCTATCCTCGTATATACACATTCACATATAAACAAATTTTAGGAAAACAGCATGGACACGCATCGCTGCGGTTTATTTCTACATGAATCACGAACAGGGTCACCCCCTCGTCCGCTAATATATCCATCTAATGCAATCGAAATGCACCAGATGGAACGCAGCACCGGCTCAATGTGACCGACTTGTTCGATGCACGCGCGTACACGTGCACTCGATTGCACGTATATTTCCCGACACGATAAAAATCGCATTTTAAAAAGATACATTGCGTATGATAGATACTCACCGAAGGAGAAACGAAGGAGCGCGAGTTTTCGTTGGTTCGAGGAAAAATCACGCCGACGAAACCAGTAAAATTACACAAATATCTTGAGCGTAACAGTAAGGCCACAGCACTGATCGAACGGAGCCCGCACTGTACCATACGACGCACTGTTAGCAACCGAGGCGCCAATGAACATGCAGGAAATCGGGACAGCGGGATCGATAGCCAACACCCGTGCACCTACGAACGTATCGGGCCACCAATAGGGAAGGTTTCGCGCTCACGAAAGCAAGCTCTTGGCGTAAGCTTGCGACAAACTTGCTGCCAGACACGGCAGTTTGACCTTCGATCGGTAAAGTGGACTTCCGTGTAGGCAAAATACGGAACGATACACCCGCGTTCACGTCCACCGCGTAAATGCGCGACCGGTCGCACGTGCTGCCCGACCGAACCTTCTTTAGTTCCGTTCTTCGACCAATCAACATGGACCACCTGTTAACAGCGTACTGAACTCTTGTAGAACGCGGCGCACGAAACGCTGCGCGCGCAGATATTCTTCCTCGCGCTCAGCAATGGCGGTTAGTGGTTTGAAAATCGTGGTAGTGCCGTTTAGTTTCTTCACGACTCGGAGATATTTGGTGCCTCGCGTGTGTTGAAATCGCGGAACCGTGTTTCTGAACTGCGTGTGCGGTACGAGATACTTTCGTAAAGTGTTGTGTGTTTGTGAAATGAAAATTGAATACGTATTATTTCGAGAAGATCGTCTTGGCGGAATGGTGGACAATATCATCTTGACTTGTGCTGAAATGTTGCTGTAAAGCTGCAATGCTTCGATGCTTCGCTTTTATTCGACGGTAACCGTGAGTAACCATTATTTCCTCGTTATATTTCTAAGATTAATGAATCTTGAATATCGTAATATGTAACGAAATATTACGAAACTTCGAACCATGGTTAAGGGAATATTGGGGAATAAGTCTGAATATAGTAGTCTTAATGTTCAAATTAGTGTAATATTGAGGAACAGGATCAAAGTTATATACTTGAAATCCTATTTAAAATAAAATTAGCAACTGAAATTCAAGTTATAAAAGTAGGCGTATTCGTGCCGGTATTGAATTCAACATGGCTTCCAATGTGAAGCATTTGTAATTGGCGGGAACTTTCAAAAATTCAAAAGTTATATCAATTAATTTTTACATTCTTATTAAATATTGAAACAAAAAATTTTGTTCTGCTTTTAAATATTCAGACTTATAAACCGTAATTAAATGCTGTTTACGTGTAATTTAGGTTAACGAAAATAATAACGCAATTCAGAAGATATACTTACATTTATTAACAAATTCTTGACACATTTAAAATTTGAAATGTATACATATTTCACAATATAAACAATAGTATACACGGTTTTCAAAGCTTAACAAGTAACATGCAAGCATAAAATAAAAATGAAATGATATAAAAATATACATTTAGTTAACACTAATATTCTGTGTAAAGTTAACATGTATAATTAGTAGAAGTAAAATATCTTGAATTACATTTTAATTGGTGGGAAGATTCCAATAAAATTTCCAATTATTTTGAAAAAAAAACGAAAGCATCTTTATGTTTACAAGGTAGAATATTAAATTCTACATAAACCAGCTCTGGATACTTAGCTTGTGTTGTATTGCTTAATAATAATGTATCATAATATTTTGATAAGTGTACACGAAGGAATCGCTATAATATTAAGATTTGTTTGCAAACAGAACAGGAATTACTAAATTTAGATAAATGCTTTTCGTGTTGAACATGTGAGGTTATATTCGTACAATGAGTGCCTACAAAAATAATTTTCTTCACTACGAGGTAGTTTTCAAGCATGTTCTTTATTCGAAGATTAATTGTACATCATGCCACTATTGTGCCCACGCCAGTAAAAAAATTATATTCTTACCGATCATAACTTATCTTGTTCCGACCTCTATATTTATACTTTTTATCAGGTACAATACAAGGCTGAACAAAATATGATTATGTAATCTTTCTTTTTTCGATAAAAAGGATATCATTTTACAAGTTACCCCCAACTTCTCCCTCTATACCTCATTTTTTTGCTTGTTCAATTCATTTACATGAACAAATAACATAGATTTCGTTACAAGTATTACAAAACGTTGTAAATAAGATGTCTTTTAAAAATAAAACAAACACAAACATTGTGCAACAAACATTTACATAGAACGTTAACAAATACATCTTTCGTTTGTATGATATAACGCTATATACATAGGATTGAATAATCTTTCTCAAACGATAGACTGATAAAAGAAAATAAAGGATTAATCGAATATAACAATAAAATTTGAAATCATTCCTCCCAGTAATAATTGCAATGATATAGATAAAAATAACCCATTGCTTCCTTTTCTTATATCACAAAACATATAGAACACTTAAAAAAAAAGTGATAATCGTGATGATAAAAGAGGAAAAGTACAACGTCATCTAACGCGGTTCCTGACGCGTAATAAACTTTGGAAACAAATACAACGACGACACGCTTTTTAAAATTCTTTCTTCAAAGCGGACTTCAGTAATGCACTGCGCATTGATGTTACAAGTTTTTCAAGTTCTTCAACCTTCATCTTCAATATCCTATTATCCCGTTCCAATTCGAGCGCTTTCTTCGCCATTTCGGTTTCCTTCGCTTTCTTATTCATTCGTGACTTTCTTGAAGCTTCGTTGTTCTTTTCTCTGGACTCTCGATAATGCGAAACGAATGGTTGATCCTCTGAGTCAGACTCGACATAACGCTTCCGTGTTGACCTCTCGCGTCGCACTCGGTTATAAGGTTTCTCTATTTTGTTGTTAACCGATATCCTCGTTCGTTCTGTTCTCCGTGTTGATACTACAGGTACTTCTGTAGAAGACGAAGTTACCGTTGATGCTGCTGTTCGACTTTTTCTACACTCCGGGGTGACAGTCTCATTCTTCTCCGTTTTCACTTTCACACTAGTTTGTGGAATTGTTGCGGATAATTTTGAAGATGACCATGGTTTCGATGCTATTGAAGAATCCGTTGAAACACTACCGTCTGGAGAATGCATTTCATCCTGTAAGACAATGCATAATATTTTATTTTATATTATTCATCATCAGTTTTATGATCTTCTTTGTGTATTATTTTCTATATTAATTACACGTATCAACTTACATCGCAAACATACGATAATAAATCAAATGTATCCGATCCAGTGGTTTCGACTGTCCGTAACACATCCCATGCTTCACGTTGATTCTCGGTAGAGTCGAAAGAGGTCGGACAAGCATCTTTTAAATCGATGTCCTCTATCTGGTACCTGGACTGGAATGGTGTGCTAACATCTGTAATACTCTGTTTGTTCCATGAGCTTGTATTTACAGTAGCTGTTGATCCTTTTGATAGCTTTAACCACAGGTTGGATGTGTTCGATTCTGTTGGACTATCTTTCCTTTCATATTTGCTAGTTACGTTTGATGTAGATTGCAAGCTAGGACAACTGTTATTTGAATGTTTGGTTGTCTCAGCAGTGTTCATTTTCAAACTCCACTTTTCTTCGTCTCCTACACTCATCAAATCTTTCAATACCCCCTCTTCTGAAGACAAAACGCTATTACCCTCGTATTTCGTACCTGGAACATTAGAATTGCACAATAAGAAACAATACATTTTCCTCTTTAGAGACATCTTTGTAAGAGATAGATAAATTTATACTGACCTGATAGTTTAAAAGTAGGTGATTCACCTGTATGAAAATCGCATTGACCCTGGAACGTGTCCATGCACCAGCCGCTTAAATCCTGAAAATTCTCCTCCCATGTGAAGGATGGTGCTTTCTCGTCTTCTTTTGTTACATTCATCTTTGGCTGTGGGAATACCCATGGTTCTTTTAACAATTCCGTCTCCATGGATGGGGTTAGCAAAGGAACTGTATCCATTTTTGAAGAGTCTTCCTCGGGTGACCACGATCTCACGCCACGAGAAGCAGATGACACACGCGGCTGACGATTGCATGGCTTTGATACCTAGAATTTCATTTCTTTAAAATTTTATCACCACCATTTGAGTTGATAGGAGGTTCTGTTAACATCGAAGAGGACACATACGTTAAACAAGCCTCCTTTCTCAAATGAAATGTTGCTGGCCGTTGGGCGTTCGTAAACAGGAGGGATTTTGGATACCTATGAAAAGATTAATAGTTCCAAGTTCACAATTACATCGGGATGGATTCAATTTTAACAAGTAGAAAGGGATATTTTGAATATCTTTGCAACAAAGTAATTTGACAATTTTGATTTTTATGCTATAAAATTATCATTGTCTAAATGAAATGAAGGTATAAAAGAAAACAAACAGTACATCTTGGTATCAAATTTATAAACACGAAGATAAAAAATATCAATAAATCCATCTATAAAACATGATTACAAAGTAATAAGAAGACTGTTAATTTATCATGATAACGGAGTTAATATTTCTCAGGAAAAGATAATAATTCAAGTGTTAGAGAGATCGTATCAATTGTATGAAGCATATTAGGACTTAATTGTTCACAATCAGAAGACAAAATTTATTGAAAACATAATTTAGAAGACATAGTCAAATAATTATACCAAGTACATCATATTCGGGCAAATCTGTGGATTATAAAAACAAAATATTACCGATCTGAAACATAAAATTACAATGAATATATTTTTTTAATTTTAATTGCATCATTCAACGCATACCAGAAGTATGCTTCGAGGATCAACGAAAGCGGAAAATAAAGAGTACTTTAGCCATTATCATGTGCATGCCACATGTAACAAATATTCACGTACACGTAAAACATATATCTACATGCATCTGTTTTTCTCCCTTTTTCACGAATACTTATCAATTTATGGACTGGATATTTTTTGCATCGTTATCGAGCGAAACAATGCGCCTCACGAGCAGACCATAGAGTGTGCGATTCGATAGACAGGCGTGGGCGAGTGCGTGTTGTACCCTCGACCCAATCACGTTTCACATAAACGCAACAGCCACGTTTTATTATCGAGTCGTCTTATTTTTCCCTTCTTATCGAGCGGCAAGACGACACCGTCGGCGAACGTACATTTTACGTTGCTAATCACTAACCTCGTTACGTAACGCACAGCATCAACGCATGTGACTGAATTTTCGCAAACCGGCTTACGTTACTGCAGATTCGATCACGCAACATTGCGGTTCACGGCGAATTTTCGGAAAATGCAGTCAAAAGCGGTCGAAAATGATCGCGTGGCACACTTGAGGTATACAATGACTAGGAACTTTCTGGAATACTATATTTTGCATGATACCGTGGTATATAGTCGAAAGCAGTCGCTACGACGTCCGATCGATTCGCACTACTTTGTCGCTGCGGCGTAATTTCGAATTTTGCCACTTTCATAAACGACAAAATTAACCCGATCTATGGTTATATAATCTGGTTGGACATGACGGTGTAACGAAGGCACAGGTAAAGTACAGCGAAATACGTCGGAATATCACTCACCCTCTTTAAAACAATCGGTGAGGTTGTACCTTCCACTTGGAGCGCGAGAACTGTTTTGTGTATTGTTGAGTCCAACTTCTTTTCGGAATACGTTCTCAGTTCGTATATCCAACGCTCTTCTACGTACTCAAAGCACTATAACGTCTGCACTGCCGCACCTCGACGAACCTTCTCCGCGAAATGCGAGCTGGAACGTCGGTAGTGCGGGATTAACACGTCACTATACAACACGCCTCTAACTCTGTGCTGGTTGAACAGAATACGCTCGGGCACGTCACTTTCGACCAATGGCAGCGGGCCTGAGCACACCGGCGACTAATCGCTGCAAGGGAATGCTGCAATGAGAAAAAGTCTGACACGTCATACGAGGATTGAACGGGATCCGTTCCAGTCGATAATCGTACTTTTCCACTTTTCGACATTCGTAACCCACACCATGGAAGAAATTCACGTCGTTTCTTATCGCGTAATGTCATTGGAAGGACCTTCGATTAATATCCGATTCGAAAATTTTGTCCCCTTCGAATGTAACAAATTTTTGGGTAAAAACGAGGAAAGTTACTAAATATTCGTGCCACTTTTAGTGATACGGAATATTAGCGATATAGTAACATAAAATAAAAATGTGGTCTCTTGCGAGGACGTTGGAGTAATGATTAATGACATTAATTATATAAAAATAAGACGTATAGTTATGGAATGGATTTTATTTTGAAATATATTATATTAAAAATGCTGTAACAATATCATTGGAATACGTCAATTGTTTGTAGAATTGAATCACTGACAAAATATAGGATAGAGCAGTCTGCCGATGCAGCTTTTAGTGCTGCTTTACCATTTTATTATCATTCCCAACGTTACCGATTCAATATAGAATGAGATTGCAATATTAATAGTGGAATAAACAACAATTTCAAGGATAAATTTATTAAGACAGGATAATCTCAAACGAAATGTTATAGCTCTGCAATTTTTGTTTATTTATATCGATTCCTTACGTTCTATATATAATTTTATTGGACGCAACTCGTTGGCAGATGGCGCTGACAGTATGCACGTGACTGTCGCGTCATGGCTAAATTACGAAAATGGATAATATTTGGAACTATACGCAGTACTTTAATTCATCTCAATAACTATATTTATCAACGTTATATTTCTTTATATCGATTTGCATTAAAAACAAATACGCGAAGAAATACATAAGGTAACGAGATGCAAAGATAACGCAATTATTACGTAATTCGTCAGAATTTTTCAGTACGATCAAACATCGTTCTATTCACACCGAAAACTATACTTCGGAATATTTATGCCAAATTTACATCGGCATGCTTGGAATCGAAACAATGAACTACTTTATCGACCAAACAGTCGGTTCATCTCCACCATTCAAATTCCTAACCAAACTACAATCGAAACCGACCACGTTTCCAATGAAATAAAGCAAAATGTAGTCAATCAGTTAACCAGGAACAATCACACGTCTGAATCAGAACCGACTTAACTACAATTCGCGATGCATAAATCAGATTCCGCGGATTTCTCAAACCGCGTTAAGGTAACACGATAATTATCGCAATTATGGAACAATGTAAACAATAAGCGCTTACATCATTCCAGGTATTATTGGACCTGATGACAAATAATTCCACGAAAGGTAGCATAAATCACGTAACACATTCGACTCACAGTATCTTTCTATTACTATCTTCCTATTATCTCCCTAAATTTATTAATCGTGTTCCCATGCGATTTAAACGACGATAGAATGGGCGAACTGCGAAACTGAAGACTATTTTATCAGCTCCGATGAATCAGATATCGAGACGGAAGATAACGACGAGTCGAACGAAGACGAGCAGAATTTTGGAAAAAGTCAAGATTGCGACACTATTTTTCATTTAAACAAATTCTACGAGGATCACGCGCAGACCACGCGAAAACACTTACCGACTGGGGCACGTGACGCTAGCATCGCCTTCGACTTCGAGGATAAGATGTACAGGGTAATTCCCCTAAGACTCGACAAAGATATATTCAAAGTAAAACGAACGAATTTCGGTGAACAAACATCGAGTTCGTCGAAAGGGAAAATAATAAAAATAGCAAAAAGACGGTACCTTGTCGTAATACATTTTATTAATAAAAAAAACAACCGTTTGTTAAAGTTTTTACAATACAAGTGGAAAACAGCTTGGTAGGCATGATTCAATGTACATTCTCGATCCATTCTCACGATCGTGCGATTCTCTTTCTTTTCCTTTCTTCCTCGTCTTTTCTTATCTTTCCTTTCTCTTTCTTTCCTTTCATTTTTTTGATTTTTCCCCCGTTAATCCGCTCGAGTCGCCTACACACAACGTTTTATATTACAGCGAGTGTGATACACGTATATCTATAGTAACAAAATATAAATTCGCTTATGTATAAGAGGGAGAAAGAGAGTGGGGGAAGTTATATTAACATACATGCACACACTTGCTCCTCTCGTTCGCACCACGTTAATCGTAGGAGACAGACAGAGAGAAAGACGTGGGAAAGTTAATCGATAGAAAATGATAGTCCTTAACTAGGCTAGGTGGTATTATAAATTACAAAAAATTACAACGTCACGCTTTTATGTAGTCTTGTCGTCGCGAACGTTTCTCGATCTCGCTGATCGATGGTACGGGTGCCGAAACAACGATCCTACTTTGACGGACGGATCGTCGTTCCAGGACTCGATCGTCTCTGGATCAAATCGATCAACGCAACGTCACTTCGTATCGTTGTACACGTTAGGCGCGAATGAACATTCGGGGACGTATCGCGAGTTCGATTCGACTTTCTTCCAACGACGAAACCTCGAACACGCCCACGGGTACAATCCTCGTCTGGGTATAATAAATAAATCGGTCTCGACGATGGGGCGACATCTCCATCTGGTGTGCGTAACAGGGACGTCGATAATTCTTCTTCCTTCTTCGTGTTCTACCATGGTAGAACGTTGGTTACCCGTCGTGGTCACTGGCCCTCACTATCACTGTCGCTTTTGTCTACGAAGATATTTGAGCATCTCGTTAGGAGTGTCGTCTCTGGTTAGATTCTCCGAAACTGTTAAGTCCTCTTGGGGAACATGAAATATTTTTGACTTGACTGTACTTCGAGTGTGTTTAATATATATCTATATATATATATATATATATATATACATTTTTTTTTTTAATTGGTTTGGAGGATGAACAAAGGTGGAGGGAATACGTGGAATATTTTTGCTATACTGTCATTTCTATAAATACAGTGCCGTGGATGACGTCAAGAGGAACCCGACGACCTATTGCAACTTGACCTTTAGATAGAGGAAAGTTACGGTCGTAGGGACCGCTGTATTATCTGGACAATTATGTAACTTATATATATATATACCGACTTGTGGTAATAAAAGTGAAAAAACAGCTTGGTTAAAAATGTCACGGTACTCTGAAAGATGGTATCATCCGCGGATACTTTGGCCAATAGTTCTGCTATCGAAATTGGATGGGAGCACGGGTGTTATTCGGAAACGTTACTAACCTTTCTTACCAGGATACGCGTGGCGCTTCAGTCTGTCGTAGAGGTCGTCCTTGGTGCCGTAGATACTGGCGTTGGAACGAGCGAGACTGTTCATCTTGCCGTTGTGCAGGCTCTCTGTAAGGGAAAGGAAACGAAGGAAGAGAGGTCGTGAAAGTCGTGAAATTTAATGCACGCTCCTTTCACGGAGTGTACCGTTTTAATGCACACCTTTCATGTAGGTCTCGTTGTAAAAGTTGGGCATTTCCCAGCCGTCCTCCTCGTCGTCGTAATAGTGAGCGTAGGTACTATGGTGGGACGGCGCGATGGATTCCGCGTATGGTGTGGGCGCGCCATAATAGAAGTTCACTTGCGAACCGTTTTGGTCGGTTGCTGGGGTGAGCATCTTTTTAGGTTCCTTTTTCCTCGAAGCTCTGTAAAAATATTTCCCCTTATAAACTCACTCCAAATTTTTTCAAAATTGCTCTCATCACAGAGATCATCACAGAAAATTCTCCATTTAATTCGCTATCTTTTCGTACCACGATAGTTGTCATAATTGGATTAGATCTTTAATTCTTATGCGTGCAGTGAATACTTACGAATTTTTAATTTTTGGTAAACATTTTATTATTAATTTAGTATTTTTCATAAATCGTTTCGACTGTATACAACGTAGAGAAAAAAGAGTGAGTAGGTTTGTAGTCTACTGACCTGACACAGATCATCCATACAAGAAGCACGACGAAGATGATCAGAATAACTCCACCAGCGATGCCACCAGTGATGTAGAAGAATTCAGATTTCTCGGTGCATCGTTTTCCAGTAAAGCTCCCGCTGCATCTGCAAGATGGCTGCCCTCGCGAATCTTTCAGACACACTCCTTCGTTGTCGCAGTAGCCCATGCAGACATCCGTGCACTCGGTTCCGGTTCCGTTGTACCCTGGTTTGCACTCGCATTTGAAGTCGCTTGTTTCCGGTATCAAAAGGCAGTATGCGTTTGCATCGCAGTGCATTTCCGCGTCGCTCGTCTCGCATGGATTCGTGCAGTCCGCTTTGCTGGTCTAATTTCAAGAAGAAAGTAACGCAATTTAAGTATAAATACCGAAAAGCTCGTAACAAATTTAAAATATTGGTAAAATAATACACCAGGAAGTCGAATACACCAATATCAGGAAGTCGAAGATTCGTAATTAAATTTGTCACTGTGTCAATGACGTCAGTTTATACTCAAAAATGTTTAAAATTTGTAGAAATACTTAGGAAATTAATCGAAATTTACATACGAAGGTTATTCAGTCATTAGAATTTACGTGAATAATTACACTAAATAATTAATCAAACCAATGACTTGGGCCACTGACATATTCTTAAATTTCTCAAATTTTAAGACTCAAAGTATCGTTCGTGATATTTCAAATCTCGAATATGGAGGATCAAAGGAAACGAAATTTGAGATCAAGAGATATATAGGTAAAGACTCACCGCAGACATTCCTTTGGTGCTGGTATTAGGAGGGCAAGGTATGCAGAAGGTCTGCTGAGGCTCCGACTGATACGTTCCCTTCTTGCACTCCATACACTCGTTCAGTGTTCCATTCAGATAGGTTCCCGGCTCGCACACAGGCAAGGAACACTCTTCGATCGCTGCGGAGCCCATATTTGGCGTCGTCCTGCCGACAGGGCAAGGCTGACAGGCAGCTTGGACTCCCTGAGTCCTGTAACTTCCTCTCGGACAAGGCTCGCACTTTCCTTCCACGGCCAATTGCTGTCCGGACCCGCATTCGTCCCTGCATTCCTCCCGAGACACGGCTTCGGCCGTTCTCGTTGTTTTTCCCAGGCCACACAACAAGCAGGAGAAGCTGCCCTCGTTAGGCTGATAGAATCCGTGGCCACAGCTTCGGCAGAGGCCGGCCATGTCGTCGTAATACTTTCCCGCTGGACAACGTTCCTTGCAATCCGCTGCACTCCGAGCACCTGGTCCCACTGTCACGCTAGGACGTCCAGCTATCACGGGACAGGAACTGCACTTCAGTTGGCCTGACTCGCTTTGGTAGCTTCCGACAGGACAGGAGAAACACTGCTTCGTTTCTTCGTCGTAGAACGTTCCCACGGCACAGGGCACTGTAATTCGTGTGAAACTGCTGTCAAACGTGGGTTCAGGTGTTTTGAAGCAGCTATTTGAATATTCTAATGAGAAATGAAGACATTTTGATACCTAATTAGGTATTCTTCTCGAAGACAGGAAACTACATAACCGTATCTTCTAACTGGAAAGTTTGACAGCATATAGGGGGTATAGCATGACAGGATGTAGGTTCAGATGTTTCGGAAATTAGGCTGACTTTTAAATATGCCAATTAGGAATAAAGATACTTGACCAGTTACTTAGGTATTTCAATTGAATATACAACAAATTAGCTAACAAACAGTAGACTCTAATTTGCTACAGAAATAAGCGATTCAAGCCTTTTGAAGAGAACTGAGGTGACTATTTGAATATTCTAACTGGGTAAATAGACATCCAAGTCAATAGACAGGTATTCCAATCGATGACATGACATATAGTTACCTGCAAGTTAAATTAAAATATCAAAGAAGGAACTTACCGCAATCTGGTGCCATAACCACTTGGCCCACTGGGCAGTCGTAGTCGGACTCCAGGATGAGGGACGCTGGGTCTGGCACGGTATTAGGCAGAATGTCGTGAACGTCGAACTGATCTTCTTCCAGGATCAATCTCTCCAACAGTGTTTGAACAGTCGCTCTCTCATTCGAGTTCGCGTTCAAGATCGGGTCGCTATAAAACACGTGACACAGTCAAGAAATTGCGTATCGATGGGTGGTCTGTTTTAGCGACAGGCAAAAGGAGAGTATGCGCAAGTATGTACAGCCGTTATCTGAAGGCGGAGGCGGGTCAGGCAGTCTTTCCATTGGTTCCTGGCCAATAGTGTCCCTTGCAATCGACACTCATTAATTTATGTACCTACGTAATGTTTAATATCCAACACATCCTGGAATTCTAATGTATTATTTGACTGAGGCAGAGTGTCTTTTGAGGTTTAATGTTCTGTTAATGTCGCGAACCAAAGCTGTTTGGTGTCTGAAATGGTTGGGAAATTCTGGCAGAGAGTCTATCGGATAAAATGGCTCCTATTTTAATTCACACCTATAATTTATTTACAAGTTGAATTTATATCCAGAGAAAGTGTTTTTAAATGAATTTAATTAATATGTAATATTATATACGAAAAGGAAACATGGAATGGAATGAATATTTCTTGGAAATGAAACGATGAAGATAATAATTGGTCTGTCGGGAGCATTCGTTGATCAATCAGTCAACCCAACAGCTTGGTTTCAAGTCGGATGTTACACCGTTCGAGTTACGTTGTTATTTCACTATCGACTCATTGGTCCCTAGTTAAGTGTCCCATTTAGCTAGTCTGTCGTGTGTGAACAGTTAGTAACAACGTGCATACCAGCGTTTACTTCGTACATTGTCGGTTAGAGTCGACTTAACAGTTGTCAGAATCTCGTTCGTGAATATAGAATATGGTTGGTTGGTAATGGATCAAGTAAAAATTGAGAAAACGATATTACAACGACAACTTATTAAAATCGACCATCGCTCGAGTCTCCTCTTCACATATACATCCGACACGAAGAAAAATGGTTTCTCGTCACCTTACAGGAGCCAACCTTGTTACTAGTCTAATTAGTTCGAGTTTAGTAACGTTATGATAAAGATTACGATTACGGTTTCCTCGTGTACGGGTCATGCATCCGCGTTTTCCGCGCGAGAATGGTAAATGGTTCATGTCGATGGGACCATGTGACATGGGTTTTATATCTGGGACGAATGGTGAGATGAATGTCGGATAACACCGAGCCCCGAATGACGAGAGCACATGTACAATGATACGTTTCGCACGTGGCGTAAATCGATTGCTGTCCTTACTTTATCGCCGGGAACGAGATCTCCACCTCGTAGGTATCGCTTCCTTGCCGCGCTTGTCTCGTGCTACGATGCAACACAAGTAACAAATGCTCAGTACGAATCACTCTCACATCCTACTGATTTAGTTTGGCTGATTTCGAAGCTGTTTCACGGTCTATTCGACTACTATGGCTAACATGATACCCCGTTTCGAAAGGGAAGCTTCGACTCTATCAATAGAATTAGCGATGGATGAGTGAACGTCATTCAGCAGGTACTACTGCGGAAATTATGTACGTTCCACCGTCTTCCTCGTTCGTTTCTCTGGTGGTTCGAACACGATGATCGCATTGGACGTCGATGTGCAAGTCTTTGCATTCTCGAGTTCCTGCGAGGGAAATAGCGAGATACGTGGAGCATAGTGATCACCGAGAGTTTGGTATTAGGCTAAACGTGGATGACAGAACATGGTCTACCTTCGAACGAGTACGAGCAGAAGTTCCAGTCTCTGTTTAGAGAGTTCACGGCGTCGCGAACCTTCTTCTTCAGCACTCCTTGGCCAGCTTCGTTGCAGAGCACCGATGTCGGGAAGTTCATCCTGATTCTGAATACGCGCTGAGCTGGTGTGGCACCTGAATAAGAACGATAATAACTTGACAGTGAATTGACGAATAAAATGAAGTAAAAATGGGGAAAGGTTAGGTGGACACTAACTTGTACAAGCTGGATAGATGAGAGGAAGAGATGGGTCATTGGTAGGCCTCCAGAAGCCTTCAGCGCCACAGGTGTAGAACTTTGGAACTTCTTGAGAGAACCTCAGTCCAGAGTTGCAGAATATTTCACAGACCTTGAATTGGCCACCAGAGCCCCAGTCTTTGCACTGCTGGGTGCCTCCAATTGGATCTGCCAATTCTGGGCAGAAGTCGGCTGAAAGGAAAGGTTCATCGTGAAAACATTGACAATTCTTTGATAAATTTTAGGATATTAATCAGTGGAATTCGAATTAGTACACTTACCTAGTACGTAGACCTTGAAGTTGCAGCTAGCAGAATTTCCAGCCTGATCATAGGCTACGTAACTGATGTCGTATATTCCCCACATTAACGTCTGCCCCGACCTATGTCCATTCTTCTCCTGGACCTTCACTATACCAACATTGTCCACGAATCGTGGCTCATCCCAGCTAACTATAGCAGAGCCATTCTTCGCGATCACCCAGAGATCACCTGGACAGTGTTCCACTTTCGGTGGAATTTTGTCAGACTCCAATTGCTGACACTTGCTACCGCCATAGCCAGGTGGACATACTCTTTGCCCACAGTGCGAAGGTACTACTCTCTCTACTCCACCGACTGTTTCGTCGTAGCCTGCCCAGGTTAGCACTAAGCCTTGATAGAGGACAGGTTCGGTGCGACAATCGCGAACTTGTTTTTGGATCTCGTTTGTCACGTGCAAGGCTCTGCTCCAGATCTGGACCTTAGTCAGGTGGCCCTGGAAGCCTGCTTCCGTGTAGCCTTTGGTGTTTTCACTTTGTGGTTTGCCTAGTACTGCCCAGGCACTAAAATGATGAGTGATGCGAATAAATAGGCGAGTTAGGAATGCAAACAAATTTTATAGACAGTCTGCTTGTGATGCTTACTAGGCAGGCAGAGATCTTCCACTGCCATATCCCTCTGTCTTGCTGGCAATCAGACCCTCTGTTATCAGGACCAATTCGCCACCATTGTCACCGTTCCAAACTACAGCTACGTGATGCCATTGGCCATCATTGATCGTCGCGTATTCCCTGAATGGGAGATAAACGTCCTGCAAATCGTGGAACAATGACACTTGCACGCCATTGCTGTGTGCTTGGATCATGAGCCTTCGATTCATCGGGACGTGTGGGGAGCTGGAATAAAAATGCAAAAATTATTAAACGATTATAATTAATAGTCTACAATACAGGAACTTTTAATGACATCACTTACCTGACTGTATAAAGGGTGAAGAATATTCCAGCTTCATCTTTCTGAGTATACTGCACCCACATAGCCACTGTTAGGCTCTTCCTGGCCCCAGTGAAGAATGGAATCACTTGGGCCGCACTACTGCGCCCTGGATCACTGAAGTACAAGTCGTAATCCACCTGGATGGCTATAAGAATATTTCCAATTATCTGTAATTCGAGATTTACTTCTCCCAATTGTTAACAAGGAAGTAAAAGACACTCACACTTCCTGCAATCGTCACCAGTTAAATTGAAAGGACACTGGCAGAAGAATTTGCCAGTGAGATCGATACAGGTTGCTGATGGTGGGCACGAATTCTCTTTGCAGTCGATGATATCATCCTCACACGTTTGGCCTGAACAATGGTTAAATGGTCACACTTGATCTACGATATGGCTATCGAAATTTTGTAATCTGTTAATCAAGTCACCTGTGTATCCTGATGGACATATACAAGTGAATCCTGGACCTTCGTCGATACATGTGGCACCATTCTTGCAAGCACCAGCTTGGCAAGCATCGTACTCGTACTGACACCCGATTCCGGTATAGTCATCGGGACAGGTACAGTTGAGTCCTGAGCCAAAGTCCTGACAACGACCATTATGCATGCAAGGATTTCCAATGCAACGTTCTGGTGCAGTCTCACACTGTTTTCCATCCGTGCCTGATGGACATCTGTTCAAAAGAATCTCTCAAATTATTAGAAACAACCCAAATCTTGATGACAACGTGTTAAACTATACTGTGTCTTTACTTACACGCAGAAGTAGTCCATGAACAAATCCACACAGGCTGCATCGTTCTGACAAGGATGATTCTGGCACATTCCAACGTCCACTTCGCAATGAACCCCGGTCCAGCCGTCAGGACACATGCACTTGAAGCCTCCAACTTCGTCCCTGCACGTGGCACCATTTAGACAAGGACCAGATACACAGTCGTCGATATTGATCTCGCAGGAGGACCCAGTGTAGCCCTCGCGACAGTGGCACACGAAAGTGTTATCCAAATCGACGCAGCGATCAGTTCCCACTGGGCTGCATGGATCACTGAGACATTCGTCTAATTCTGCTTCGCATTGCAGTCCAACGAAGCCTGGTCTGCACTTGCAAACAAATCCCTCTAGTTGATCCACGCAGGTGCCTCCATTCTGGCAAGGCTCAGAAGCACAGTCGTCGATGGTATGCTGACACTGTTTGCCTGTGTAGCCTGGTTCGCAGGTACAGGTGTATCCATCGACTTGGTCGATGCACTGGCCGTTGTTCCTGCAGGGTTTAGAGGCACACTCGTTGATGTTCGTTTCACACGCCGTACCTGCCCATCCTGGATGACAGATGCACTCGTGGCTGAATAAGTTGTCCACGCATATTCCATTCAAGCAAGGATTTCCCGAGCACAAGTCTATCTTCTCATGGCACCGTTTGCCTGTGAATCCTGGGGGACAGTCACAGCTGAAGTCGGCTATTAGGTCTGTGCAGTTGGCACCTAATAGGCAGGGTTTCTCGGCACAGTCGTCGGTGTTGATCTCGCAACTCTGGCCCTCCCAACCTGGTAGGCAGTCGCACTTGTATCTGCCTTGTTGGAGAGCTACACAGGTGGCGCCGTTGTTGCATGGATTGCCACTTGCTGTGCATGGGTTTATCTGCAAATTTGGATCTTACTGTTAGAGATACTCAGCTAAAGCAATTAATCGCCCTAGCCAAACATTAAAACCCAACCTTCTGAACAATATTACTAGTATAAGATTTACAAAGAAAGTAGACTTACCGTGATGTCACAGTCGACTCCAGTGTACCCAGACCGACAGAGACACGTGTAATTATTGAACCCAGGCTCGTCCTTGCACATAGCCCTCTCAGGACACGTGTCATTGGAACAATCCGACTTCTCTTCCTGACAATTAACTCCCGAATATCCATTGGCACACTGACACCTGTAACCCTGCGGCAGATCTATGCAAGTAGCCCCGTTGTAGCAAGGTTGAGAGGCACATTCGTCGATATCAATCTCACAGCGTCTACCAGAGAACCCAGCTGGACAGAGACACTGAACACCGTGTCCCATGGGCACACACAAGCCCCCATGTTGACAGACGCTGTCGGTGCACTGAACAGGTTTGCATTCCTCTCGTCCAAGTGCACCTGGTCCATCGGTATACATATTCGTGGGACACTCGACACAAGTGGTGGCCCCGTGTTGGGGTTGGAAGAAGTCCTTAGGACACTGGGCACAGGGAGCCAGTCCTGTGTCAGAGTACATTCCAGGTGAACACTTAGCTCTGCAGCGATCTCGACCTGGTGCAGCTGGTTGATAGGTGAAGGTGCCTGCTGGACATGTCTGGCAGTCTTTGTAGCCACCTACTGGGGGTTCCCCTGTGTAGCTGTTCCTGGGACATTCCAGACAGGGTACTAGACCCGTGGGCGAGTATGTGCCATATCCACAAACCGGTATACAATCGTCTATGCTCTTGGAACCCTCTTCTCGAGTGTATGTGCCGAATGGACAACGTAAACAGGATCCTTGGCGATCGCTGTTCTGGTAGAAGCCTTTAGGACAGGATGTACATTGCTTCTGCTTCTCTCCCGCAAATGTACCAGCTGGACAGTGCACTGCAAGTGAACTCAGACAGAATTAGAAACTGGTTTGGCAAGTCTCCACAAATGTCTACAGTGTCTACAGTGTCTACTCACAGCATCGTGGCACGTCATTGGTATCCATGTGCTGGACAGTGCACTGCAAGTGAACTCAGACAGAATTAGAAACTGGTTTGGCAAGTCTCCACAAGTGTCTACAGTGTCTACAGTGTCTACAGTGTCTACTCACAGCATCGTGGCACGTCATTGGTATCCATATTCAAAACTTCACCAATGCTGCAAGTGAAGCCTCGAGTGATGGACGACTTTAGAGCCCTGAGAGGTGGACATTGGTTCCCTATAGCAGAGACATTCAACAGAGGCTCTATTACAGCACTAGTGGATGGGACTGACAGGTCAAAGATCAGATTCAGCGTAGAACCACAGAGGTCGTACAGTTGAGGCTGACGAATGGCTGGTACGATGACGAGAATGAAGTCCATCTGAAACAGAAATACACTTCGTTAGGCACATTTCTATCAGACATTCTATTAAGACATGTCTCACGATGGTCACCTTCAAAACATTTTCTTCGATTAGATACGGCACTGATCTCACAAATGACACGTTCATGTTAACATTCACAGCAGAGCAACGTTGTGTCAAAATGTTATTCAGATTCATATAATATTGGGACATGAGATCCTGGTACTGTGGTAGACAGGACCTCGAAACAGCCCCATTGGCTCTATAAGTCACTGCCGCTACCACGTGATAGTTCGCCTGCTGTGTATCTATAAAATATAGCACATGCATTTTGAGAAATATAACCTCAGATTTTGACAAGTCTCCTGTAACAATTTAAACTAGAATTTAGAAGAACTGACTTTCCGAGACACAATCTGGAACGACGGAGGTGGGAGACCAGTGTTTAGCAACGTCACAGGTGAACGTCTTCACTGGTGCACCATCGGTGAATCGGAAGCCGTTCTTGCAAGTGGCGATGCATTGGAGACCTTTGTCACCAGGGACGCATTTCAATCCTCCATTAGCCGGCGGCTTCAGCTCCCAATCAACGCAGGGTGTTGCTTGGACAGACACTTGGAAATGACAGGATGCTCTGTTTCCACTGGAATCTGTTGCATAGACAGTCACGTTTTCAAAGCCTCCGATTGGGATCAGTGCTCGTTCAGGGACGAACGTGATCTTGACTGGCCCAGAAGCGTCAGTAGCGTTGATTCTTCTGCGAGTTTCATTGAAGTTTACAGAATAACTCTCTTGCTTATCTATCAGCTCTATGACGTAGCTCTGGGGGCAGCTGAGTTTCGGTGGTGTTACATCTGTGAATAGCCAAGAAATGGTAATTTAAAACTATAAATTTTATTAATTTGTCGAGGTTGACAGTGCACTGCATACTGACCAGGTACGGTTATGTTGATCTCGCAAATGGCAACGTTTCCATCGTAATCGAATGCCACGTATTTCACCACGGTATCCTCAAATACTCTCAAAGGTGTCCTAAAGCTATGAGGTTTCACTTCCAATCTAGCAATGCTTCCACTGTTGTCAATAGCTGTTGGTTCAGTGAAATTCACGGGTAATAATCCTCCATCTGTTCCCTTCTGAACGACAATTGGCTGTTGAGGGCAGTTTTGGAATACTGGGGGCTCGTTATCCACACAGGGAGAGAATCCATAGTCGTAACCTAGCAATGGTTCCGCGACTGGTTCCTCGCAGCCCATCAGTTCGAATTTCAAGCAAGCGTTATCCATGTAACTGACTATTCCAAGGATCACAAAGCGAGCTTGGACGTATTTAGGCAAAGTGATCATCGCTAATTCGCCGTAGTTCCCAGGATCCCTCATAGTCAGATTGAAATTAGGGAAATAGACCACGTAATTCTCGATCTCAGCCTGCTTGTAGAAGAACCTGATCTCTGTTGGCCTACCAACCACATCGTTTGTCACCACACCCTTAACCAAAATTGCCTTCACCCTGTAAACGTGGCCTAAATCGACACTGACATAAGTGAAGGCCTCTTGCTTGCCGCACCAGCCAGTCACCGAGTTCAGACGAACGTTCTTAGCCTCGTAATTCGGCTTTTCTGATGTTGCATTGATTGCTGAGTCTGGAATACGACCAGAAGCCAGGCCGAGAGGCTTCACGACCTTACATTCCGGTTCTCTCACGCAGACAATAGGCCTAGGATTTATCAGGATGTATCCTGGTCTGCTGCAACCGAATTGCACTTCGGACCCCTGTTCGTAGCTCCTCGCCACTTGGAAGCCATCGCTAGGTCTGCCAGGATCTTCGCAAACAGGTCCTTCGCATCGGAGGTTTCCAAAGTCCCAGATTCCATTAGCTTGACACCTAACCACATTATCGTGACGATTCGTCTGGCCAGCTAGCTTGAAAGTATCTTGGCAACCGAAGAAGAAGGAAGACTGGTATTTCGTGTCTAGATATTGGCCATACTCTGCTCCAGGAGTTGGCAGAGGTTTGCCACAGTCAGCCCTAGGACAGGCTGGTTGAAATCCTGATAGCCAGTAGTCTGGCAGACCTGGTTGAGGGTCGTAGACACATTGACGGAAGTCTGAGGTAGCTGTATTCCTCAAGTATCTCCCATTGCTACCACATTTTAGCGTGACGTTCTGTTTGAATGGCACCAAGACGCTCGTTTCGTCGCTGCGTATCACTGATAATCCCTCGTTCTTGTCGTCTGGCAGTGAGACACACTTGGCATCTGCGAAAGCATCGTTTACATGGAATAATTATTTTCTTTTAATCGTCTACGAAATTGTATCACAGCTTTCGACATACATTGACACTCTGGAGTGGTGCCATTCCAAGCTCCACTGGACGTGCAAACCACAGCCGAGGACCCAGACAACACGTACCCAAAGTTGCACTGGAACCTCACGAGATCTCCAAAGTGATGCTGTTGCTGTAATCAGAGTGCAGAATATTATAACAAATTGTTCATCCTAAAGATTCTTCCTATAAAATATAGATCTATATTTCGAACCTTAGTTGACAATATCTTTCCATTCTCTGGTGCCAATATAGCTGGACACATGACAGGTACACAGGTCTTATTCTTCTGATACAGATCACCGTCCCTTTCACCAGTTTCGTACTTCTCTATATGGAAACCAGCTGTCCCGTTGCCTTTGTACAGCTCGTAGCCAGTGTTGCACATGCAGGCATAGCTGCCAGGATTATTTATACACTTCTGATGACAGCCACCATTGTTGGTAGCGCACTCATTGACGTCTGTACACTCTAGACGAGTGCAGCCCATGATTTCAAGCTTCATACAGGGTGCCCCAACGTAATCCTGAATCCTAAACCTCACGTAACGTGCTTCGATGGGGACTGGCAGGTTCAGGACAGATAGGGTGGGTTCTAGTATCCTGAACTCCACTGGAGTACCATCGGGATTGGTGTAGTCCCTAAAGCTGTCTGTCAAGTCATCGGTATATTGGATTCTCACTGCTGAAGTGTACGCAGTGTTTCCATCCACTCTGGAGACGACCTGTGTCCGGAAACCGCGAATGATCGTTGGTGCTTTCATGTCGATCATCACCCAGTTGGTGCCAGGCTCGATATTGTTGCCACACCATCCGTCGCCGTTGTTCAATCGAACACCCTTGGAGAAATGAAATGTTAGAGATCAAAGACAGTTCATTATCTTGTCAGCTTCAGCACACCTAGATTCCACTCACAGTTTTGGTGTATCCGTTCTCAGAGCTGGAAACGGTGATGGATTCGTCAGGGATTCCGCCATTGATCAACCCAAGATCCCCTATAGGCCTGCATTCCATGGTTGGAGCGAATCCAGGTTTGCATTTGCAAGTAAATGCACCTGGATTGTTGATGCACTCCGTAGAAGCCAGGTCACATTGGCTGGATGCACACTCGTTTATGTCTACACAGAGGAGGTTTATATACTCGTGTCAGGAGGAAGCCAGGGTTCCTGTATATGCATCTGTGTCCATTTTATTAACTGGACGTTTCCAACACTTGCAATCTCACCTTCGCAAGTAGGCACATTGTCGAATCGTTGAGTAGGTCCGCACTGTATGATGTTGGATCCTGACAACTTATAGCCCCTATTACACTGCACTCTGGCTTCGTCGCCATAAAAGTACTCCCTGGTCATATCCACTACGAAACCGTTCTTGATCGTGGGCAGTAATGGACACTTTGCACCTACACGAGAAGGCAGGATTAAATAAAAGGCGTGAATAAATGTTTTGCAACCAGTTGCAAGAGAACACTCACGGGAACAAGTTGGTACTTCGTCTGACCAGGTCCCGTTGCTCATGCACAGGATCACTGGATGCCCACTTCTCACGTAGCCTGGCTCGCATTCAAATCGAACGATAGTCCCGTAGCTTCGTCCACCTCCGTTCAGGATGGTTATGTTCGAGTGTGGCGCTTCCGGAAGTGGAGAACACTGAGAGGCTGCAGGAAACGTTCATTAATACCTTCCTATTAGTCGCAATTTCTGATTTAATCGAGAGTTTCAATTCTCTTCTTCAGTTCCTTACCCAAAAGTCTTTTGGTTCAAAGGCTGCTCATTTAACGTAGGTTTATTTAGTCTTTAAAAATTGCTTACCCAAACAAGATGGCTTCTTCTCCCATCGTCCATCAGCCATACAAGAAATCTTCTCAGTGGGTCTGCCAGATGGAAACGCGAATCCAGCATAGCACTGATAGGTAGCCAAACCTCGATAGGTAACATTGGAGGATCCGATTGAGAAACCATTGTCAATCTGTGGCACAGGTCCGCAATATACTTCCTGACACTTGGGAATGTACGTCACTGACCAGTTTCCACTTGGAAGACACTCTGTAGTGATCTTTGCTTTGCCAGTAGCGAACTCCTGGCCCAGTGGGCACGAGAACGTCACTGTCGTCCCGAAAGCTGTATCTCTGCTGGATGCCAAAGCTCCTTCGCCAGATAGGAGCTGTGGACAGTCTAATAGGATTCAGAGACTTTAAATATCGAATAGCTCCACGTTTTTCAGTGTCAGGAATCTTTTAGATGTTTAACGATACCTGCTGAGAACTCTGCTTGCCAACCGGAGCTGCTGTGGAGAGCATCAGAGGTGAATCTGACTAGCATTTCACCACTCTCAGCTGTCAGGGTGATCTTCGGCCTGATATTCGACGTGAAACCGTTCCCAGGATGCAAGCGGAGGCCATTGGTATTAGGTCCATCGTATATCTATCAGAGAAACGTATTTTATCGGAACCAAAAGATTTTGACAATTTCTAGACCTCGTCAAAGTCCAGACTAGAGCAAATAGCAGTCCACCTGACAAGGAGCATCGATTACCTGCACGAAATCAGTCTTATGAACGTTGAAGTTGATGAACTTCAAGGATAGAGGTCCCCCTTGAGGATTCTTCACCCTGTATAAGCACTCCTGGTTATTAGGATAATCGTTCAGGCCGAAAGATGGCGACTGCACTGTTCCATTCCTGGCTATAATAGTAGCCTTGCAGCCCTGAGTGTATCTAATGCTGAAGCCCCTCCTGGAGTCGCCTAAGCTAGTCTTGAGGTAAAGGTACAAGTTACTTCCTGTTGACATGATTACTGTCGGGTTGTCCTCCGACTTGCCAGTCAGCCTAGCTATCGGTCTGCTCATCGGCGAGTCCCCGTCTCTAATTAGAATATAATCTCGATTCATCTCGAGATCCAGATCCTCGATCTGCGAAACAAACACAATGAAAATTAATCTCTCGTCTGGAAAGGTTCTCGAGCTGCTTTCTTCTTTCCGAAGGACATACCTCGAGCGACATTATGCGACCAGGTTGAGCCTGTAGAATGTACAGGCACTCTAATCCACCGGGATAATTCTGAGGATATCCCGGCGAGGTGAGGACCTGTCCTTGAGGAGTTGCTCGAAGAATCCCACCGCAGGTTTGCGGTTCGGTCTTCCAGGAAGCACGGAAGCCTTTTCTCTCCACGGAGGAGTCGGTGCTGAATTTGATGATCATGAAGTTCGAGGCGGACACGAACAGTTTGTTGCTGAGCTCCTGCTTCCCGGAGAGGGTTGCCAGGTTTACGGACTTCTCCTCGGTCCTGCCACCGACCAGGATCTGCACTATGTCGAAGCTCTTCTCTGTCTCGAACTCTTGGAACTGGAAAGGAAAATGGCCGACTAATCTTTTAGTCCCTAAATATAATATCCCTATATATATCACATTAATATTAATATTATATTTAGTCTAATTATTTATTTATTAATTTTATTTTCCCATGATTCGATGTTCGAATGCTTCCAATTCTGTTACTTCTTCTGTTATTTCTTTTGAAATATTCGACATTGATAATATTTACTAGCTTCGCTATTTTTCCAAGTTCCTCAGAGACACTCGAGCGTTATTTTAAATTAAAAACTCATTTAGGGCAAACGTTATGATCCCATCGCTGTAGCCATAAACAAATACAACAACGCAGATTCTCACCACGACGAAAATAAAGCTCCAGGCTTCCTTGGAGTGAGGATAATAAAGAAGGAAATTAATAAAACACCTTGTAAAAAGGGTCTCGTACCTGTAACAGGATATTATGGCCTTGAGGGCCCTCCAAGGTCCACTTGCAGTTACTGAGGGGTGCATATTTGTGCGGATAATTAGGACTCTCGACGACGTCCCCGCTGCTGGCCATATAGAACTGGCAATTAGTCGGGCAGTCTATCTCGTCCGAAAAGTCACCGCAGTCGTCCTGTTTGTCACACTTGAACGCTCCGTTCACGCACTTCCCGTTGGAGCAGTGGAAAGAGCCTGGGGAAATTCGTCGACAAACGTTGAGCGTTCGAATTCGAGTTAAAATAGATCGGATGACGATCAAAGAAACTCGTGCAGAGGTTTACCAGCTGGACAAGCGTTGGCACGGCACATGAACGGCAGCAGGGATTCGCACGTGGTCAGCTCCCACGTTTGTCGGTCATCCGTCAGCGCGACGTCCACGCATTCACCTGATTGCGGATTCGGCTGCTTCGACGCCCAGAAACCTGAATACCAAAGATGTTCAGGGCCACTGTCCTTCTCGTTCGATGGAATTTCGGGGAAACGGATCTGGTTGAGGAAATTGGGAATACTTGGAATTAGGAAGGACATCTTCATTTCGTTAGGTCCACAGTAATTAGATTCAGGGAATATTTCTTGAAATTATTGCTTCTTCAATTTCTGACTCGTTTGTAAACTTAGAATTGGTGATTTAATATACATGGAAAAGGGATTTTCACAATTTTTTGACAATTCTTATTTTTAATTTAAAGTTTGGTTAGTTGGTATGGTAATCCTTGGTACTCGTTGAGTATTGGAAATTGGAATTTCGAAAGATTTTGGTACGTAAATAAATGCAAGAATATTTTATATGTCTTGGGGATTCTGTATATTCAAAATTTTGTATCTTATATTTAATATTGAATATGGAATATTCATGAGATGATTGTAAGACTGGTTTGACATCGGAAACTATGTCTCTCTTAGCGAGGAGTGCCAGGATATTTCGCTAGGCGTGGATGCTTGGGTAAACAGGCGAGGTGAAAGAAATGTTATGCAAATATATAATACACCAGACGGGTAAATTGCAGCTTGCACCGGAGCAGACGTAAAAGCGACGGTATCTGGGCATTGTTGTGGGAAAAGTGTGTCTTCGTGCCGTATACACGCTGCAGTTCCGCGTTTCCGTGACCCCGATGGAAACCGGCCGGTCTGCACGTGTGTTCGATCATTAGAAAAACTGGCAATCCAGTTCACAATTTCGGATCAAGCTATTGTTGCCATCGGGAACATCGACGCTAGTCGATTCCCCATAGAAACGATTTAGAGACAGAATTCTCCAATTCCTTGTCCAAACTAGATACAGTCCTACCATAGAACTCTCATGGTACCATCGTAAAACGTCTCAGAGAAGAATCACAAAAGAAAAAAATGGGATTTTAATCAAACATTTGTCAGTTCAATCACTATTACTATAAATCCCACCATTAAAAATCCTCTTCTCTAATTAAAAACTCAAAAAATTCGTTGGTAACTCTACTGCGTAGAGATTGCACTAGATTGATCATGTCGTCAGTCAAGAAAGACTGTAGAAGTCACACAAAAAACGATGCAATTGCATAAATACACATCCGAGCACATTCGTCAAGAATTCTTTAATGCTTCAAACCTGAGAAAATCCAAAAATCTGTTAAAAATTGTACGTCATGCAACTCTGCGTCAGAGCAATGAAGACGTCAGCCAAGGACTCGATAGGATTCGCCCAGGAAATAACAGGATTGGGTAACCAATCACCTGTCAACTCACTCAGCAAAAGCCATTACGAGACTCAAACAGCTAAAATCCTTTTTCCAAGTCAAAAAACCAATAAATTCGTTAATAACTTAGCGTCATGCATCAGGGAACCTACGATCTTGACTCCAGTGAAGCAGTACTAGATCCCGCGGGGGAAAAACTGGGTTTGGGTAATCAAACGCCTGGCAACTCGTCGGGCAAGAACTGTTTCAAGACCGGAACACCTAAAATACTGATTGGGAACGAAAAAATCTAAGAGTTCGTTAATATCTGCACGCCATGCGTCACGGAGTGTGCGCCGGGGCGATGGTGGCGCCAGGCGAGTCGGTCTGAAGAGGGCCCAGAAGGGAAAAAATAGGATTCGGTGGCGAAACGTGTGGGAACTGAAGCGAGACGTGATTTTACAAACCGGCGTATTGGGAGACGAGCATTCCAGCGGCCGATTCGAGCGTGTTGGTCCGTAAATCGTCGAGGGAGGCCAGGCCGAGCCAGTAACGATCCAAATGCCGGCCGATCATGCTCGCGGACATGTTGTTCTCGCTGTACGACTCCACCACCATCAATTCGCTGCCGTACCTGTAATCGCACGTCAATTCGTCCATCTCTTGCTCCGTTCTAGCGTGTAATAACGCGGCTACGAAGACGAGTTTCCTCCCGATTCACCGTTCTTCCTTTTTCCCCTTTATTTTCTCATTTTCTCTCTCTCGCTCTTCGCGTATTCACGTTTCAGTGAACAGGTATCGAAGCGTTGAGAGATTTATGGGGTTTGAAATCGTCGAATTGTTAAATAAATATCCCCAAACGTTTCTTTTTCTGGCTTTCGCGGTATCGGAAGTTGCCATAACCTTCGGCCTCAGCTTCGCTGAAGGGAAACACTGCCAGAAGGTTATTGACAATTGATCCACTTACCTCCTGCATAGTTCCGCCGCCTTTTCCCAAGAGTGCCTGATGTTGAAGAATTTGTAACAATGTATGCCTCTCAGTTCCCATCCTGCGGAGAAAGAAAGGCCGTTATGCTTCTCGTTACACGTCGATTACCAGTAACTGCGATAGATTCGAATTAATTAGAAGGCCATTCGAATGCTTTAAAATTCCATTCACCGATATCTGTTCCATAAATTAATTTATAAACTAACTAAACTCACAGAAATTTTCATTAAAATCGCGATCACTTTGGATGAATACATTATATATATAGGTACTAATATATCTATTAACCCATTGCGCTCTAGATGCGCTCTTCAGTCGCCATTTGATAAAATTTCGAAGCACGATATTCCTAAATATGTCAAATTTCGAATAATGTAACGCTGTGCGAGGTATCTAAATCAAACAATTCTACGTGTTAATTATCATACGATTTCTTATTCCTGCTCAGAAAAATATCGTCAGCTTTGTAACAGAAAGTCTTCGAACTCCTATCCTTCTTTGGCGAAAAAATCGTCGAGTGGAAAGGGTTAAACTCGATGTGCTTCATGTCCGTGAGAAAAAGAAATCTGCGTGACGCATCGTGCGCCATTACGCTTTGGGTTATCTTAATATATCAAGATGAGATAAAAACCGTCCCACTGCGTCGCAATTATTAAACATCTTGATATACCAAGATGAGATAAGAGGCATCCTACTGTGCACTTATGAGTCCTAAAACCATCGTACACTTTGTCTCGCTGATGAACACGCTGATAAATTCATTGACATTGACAATCCTTTATATAATTCTACGAATATTTAGGAAATCCCTACCTTATCGACCGAATATCACCTGTCTAGTTCGAGCCATCGGTAATTCAAGTACCCCCGTCATCCCGTAACACGACGTATGTAAATCATCCTGGAACACACCTAACCTACGGCTAGGGTATAGAAACGACGAAATTGTGATGGTAATTAGATTGGACGAGGATCGGTTGAAGTAGTGGAGGGTTGGTGTCGCGCGCGAAGAGAAGGTCGAGGGACTTGATCGAAGGGGCGAAGGCCTTAGGTGCAGCTTCGCTGTAGGAAACGCGGTTAACCGGTGACCTGTACAGACAGTGACGGACACAACGACCTCGATCGTTTTTAATGCGACTCAGCGTGTGCGAGCAACGAGAGTCAAAGGTAGGTCGCTGGGTAAGCGGGTAACACATTGTAAAAGAGAATCGTCGAGTGAAACGTTTCTCGCGTGCTCGTGTTGTTGACCGTTCGATCCTCTAGAGGCGAGGTTCTTTAATTTCTTTAACTTCTTCAGCGATGAATGTGTATGTGTATATGTATATGCTTTTCTTGAAAATTATGATTATTGTAAGTGAGAATGTGATTATTGCGAGGTTAGAATCACTTGGAGAACTGTCTACCATAGAATTCCTCAACAACAACAAAATATAGCTTATTTATTTATTTATTTATTTATTTTATTTTATAATCATTGCTTTGTAATATTATAGTACTCGTTGTAATTTAGAAAAAAATTGGTTCCTGAAGGGATTAAACCAATGGAGATGATCTGTAGTTGAAAATTTTGAGTTGAATGAGATATTGTTCCCTTTACTTTCTTTTCATTCTACAGGGTGGTCATTGAGAAAGTGATTGATATAAAATAAAAATTTCACAAACACACATTTCTTTAATTCTTTATTATTTTGTTTGGAAATATAATTAATAGGTCTTCTTCAGTATTTTTGTATGAAAAATAATATTCCTTATGTAGGTATCATTTTCAGTTTTTTAATGAACACCCTGTAGAAGTATTGGAGAAGTCAAAGTGAGTGGTTTTAGGTTATGTTCGACAAAATTAATACTTAGATATATTCATTTTTGTGTGCATAGTAATATAATTGCGTAGGTTTATTTATTTTTGTCGAGTTATGTTGGTAATAGACTGTATAGCTAAATGTGTAGTATGTTTAGGTTAGGTAGAGGACAAGAGATGGTTTGGAATGTTTGAAAACTTGCTAAAAATCGATCGAGTCTTTCATTTGACTTACATCGTTATTTTATTTTCAATATAAATTATATTAATCTATATATTATTATTTCGAATAAATGGATAAAAATTACCAGCATACAATACGTATGTAAATATATAGTTCATTAATAATAATTAGAAATTACATACGATTTATCTCATTAAAAATCCGTATTAACGTTAATAAACGTTTTATATTTTCGATAATTGGAGAAATGAAGAATTTGGAACGAATCGTTGCGATCGGTTCGCTGATTTTAGATTTAATAACAGTGCCTGCGATCTTATAGCTGCTCGATGTTTTCTCGATACGGTACGCGTTGAACTCACCGAGAAAAACACGATGGCGGCCTTCCTTTCTTTTAAAAGGTCAAACGGCCATGTTTGTACCGTGTATGCGGCTCTCCACGCGCCTATTAGCATTTCTCGATCGAGCCAACGCGTGCGGAATATTTTTCGATGGTATTAACGTTCCTAGCTTATCTCGCAATATGTTAACAAAGGATTTAGTCTCTGATAATAACTCGAGAAAGATTACACATCTTTTTATTCCGATTATCGTGCGTCGAACATCTAAAATCAAACATAACCTCACTTAGCAACGTCGAAAAAGAACCACAAAAACTTAACATAGAATCTTCGGTTTCTCTAAAAATTCCCTAGTAATTTATCCCAATAATTATCAAAAAATTGAATCCTCATCTTTATTGCTACTCTACATTCCAAATCTCGCGTTTACAAAGGTTCTGTTAAGACATACTACAATCCCAGTAAAATCTGAAACTGCAGAGAAATTCCCTAGAAATTCCCCAGATCCCTAATATTCATCTAAAAATCAGACAATCACCTAGCAATATCAGTCTTTTACCTATACTCACCTCAACACTAGGACTAGCAACCTCTAACACGATCATATAAATAATAATTCCAATGTTGCCATGAAAAGAATCAGGTACTACATATTTCCATTTCTCTCTGAATAAAGGTCACCGTAAAATTCACTCGTTTTCATCCACTAACAGAAAGATCAGAAAATTAGAAATTCCCTAGTAATTCCCCAAACCCCAATATTCATCTAAAAATCAGACAATCACCTAGCAATATCAGTCTTTTACCTATACTCACCTCAACACTAGGACTAGCAACCTCTAACACGATCATATAAATAATAATTCCAATGTTGCCATGAAAAGAATCAGGTACTACATATTTCCATTCCTCTTTGAATAAAGGTCATCGTAAAATTCACTCGTTTGCATCCACTAGCAGCAAGATCAGAAAATCAGAAACTGGTTCGGTGTGGGGCCTCTAAACCCGAAACCCCAGACCCTACCTCAACCTCCAGGACATACCCTACCTCACTGAACCCTGTCGAAAAAAGCAGCTAGAACTAGGCCGCACGAGCGGATTCATCTGCGTCAGCTGCGAGATCTCTATCCGGAGCGTCTATCGATAAGAATCGTGGCGGAATGGGCTCGCAGCGGCGGATGATCGGTCGGCTACCGGATGCTCCACTTTTTGGAATCCCGTTCGGGCCGCGATGGTGGAAGGGACTGTGACGCGAATCCGTGTATTTTTAGGATCGCTGCCTCGCGACCCGCGTACGATGCCTAAGAAGCAGACGAAGAAGAAGAGGAAGCGATGGTAGGGGAAGGACTCACGTTTTAGGAATGCGGTCCCTTCCTCCGGGGCCCGCGGGCCTACCTGCGGGCCCCTGGGCCATCGGTATGCCATTATTGTGTTGCGGGTCGAGAATTTTGGGCCAGCTGCCCGCTCCAACCGGCTCGAGGACGCCACAGGGTTACACTTGCGGCCCACGGGGCGTGGAAGTCTCTTTGGTCACGCTCCGAGGAGGTGTAACCTCGCGAGGAATTGGCTGAGCTGGCTCTCTGTACTTTTCGGCACAAGGAGGAGTTTTCATGGGATTTTCGGGCATTGTCCACGTCGGAAGTGGAGGGTCTTTGAGTTATCGATATTACTGAGAAATGCTCGTGAAAATTTCGGAAACATAAAAGAGGATTTGAGCTGGAAGTTATGCGGGGGACCCTTATGGACAGTGCTCGGTGCCGTTACTAATATTACAGTTGTTACAATATGTGGTGTGGTCAAGGTATGATATATTTTGTCATAAACGTTCTCAGAAACTGATTTTTCAAGTGGTGGCTGCTTTAATGTCTTTTATATTTCTATTATTATTTTTATTACCGGTGTGGCCACTCTGAAGTGGGCTTAGTACTTACAATGATTAGATTATGGCAGGTGTATACTATTTGGTATGTATATACCCAGATAAATGTCTTACTGTGGACACCAAGAAGGGTACTAGCGTTTGCAACCATAATTCAAGTATTATAATCAAAATAAATACGTATATCACATAGGGTGCAACTGCAGGTTCCAAGAAACTATTATCCTATTACACTCGTTTGAATTGGACATACGATAGTTGGTTCAAGAAACAAATATGCGATAGGTCAAGATCAGGAGAATATTTTTACATTAATGAATCACAATTGTGGAAAATCCATGATTCATCTTCCAATCATGCATAGCTCGAAGACTATATTATACGTTAGATTACTCACTGTATAGCTCCACTCTTTAAACTATAAACGTGCATTTATTCCTAATAAATTATGCCAATAAAATTCAACAAAATGAAAGTCTGAAAGCGGCCATTTTGATTCACTCGCAGCGTAGAAATCAGTTCAATGAATCGAACGTCTGTCAAACCGAATGAAACACAGTTTCAGATTATCTCGCAACCTGGAAATAGTAATTTCCAAAGGACAAGAAGATCTGAGATCGATGGAATCACGAAGATTCGTCCTTCGACGCATTTTTCCTTCGCGACGATCGAAAGATCACGGGGCGAATTATTCAGGCCTTCGTGGGTCGAGCTCCCAAGGCCTTCAGGCCGGACCAACGAATTAAAATGAAGTTGTTTTCGATGCTCGACACCGGATTCCTGCTCACGGTAAGATTCGACGCCGGCAGAGGGTCCGGCTCGATCGAACTTGAAACGTCTCGAACTCACGCGACAGAACACGGTTAACGATCAAGTAGCTTCATACTGGTACGTGCAACCTACTTAATTGCGCTGCCAGTAACGAGGAAAAGTGGAGCAACGTTACGAATGGCCGAACTCTTATCCTCATTGTCCCTCGCGTGATTTATTCCCCGTACGCGTCTCGCTTTCGTATTCCTTCTTTTTCTTTTTTTAAAAATATAATTTGAATACAACGACGAGAAGATCCATCCTTCCTCTTTCAAGGAGTGCAGCGAAAATTGGGAACACGCAAGAACAGTTTCAGATCCTGTCAGATAAACACGGACATGTTTCTCGAAAATAACGACGATAAAATTATTATAGTACATTTTTAAAAATTAAATTAAATTCCACTTGGTAAATCTAATATAATAAAATATTTCCGAACGTTTTCTGATTCGAATTAAATTAATTTTCTAATTGATATATACCTAGGTAACTGTAATTATATATACCGTTAGGAATATTAAGATACTCGGACATTTTTAATTTAAATAAATTAATATTACGAAAATATTGCGAGCCTAAATCCTCTGTGAGTGAATATCGTAATTACCTATGCAAATATTTATATTCATCAGTTTACTATTAGGATGGAAAATAATTTTATTGTTTCCATCATTTTTCGTCTACATCTAGGGATATTTTTCTATTCGTAGAATTTTCCCGAGATTTTTATTTTTAATTGTTTATCGTGTACTCTGTCCAACGTTAGCTTTCAGTTATAAGTTAGTTCAGAATATATAGTTAGCTTCTAGTTATAATGCAATGTCTCGTATCTTTGATTAATATTATTTATGTAATATAATAATATAAATAATAAATTTGCGGATCTATTTTTACAAAGGAGCATCTGTTTGCTGAAACAGAAAAAGAGAAATTCTGGCGAGCTGCTGGACCAAGGCCGCGCGATGCGAATCCGCCTTAAAGCGTTTTAAAGCATGACCTCGGTCCACGCGTTTAGCCGTCTACCTGGCCAGGTATAGGACCACCAGGTGCGACCTTTTCAAGGCAACCGATGGTCCTGCCTTCGGCACACTGTTACCTGCCTCGGAAACCGTGGCGGTATAGAGAAACATTTCGGAGTTACTCACCGTTCGGACAGGTGAAGACATTTGTGGTAGGAACCTGCAACAAAGAAACGTATATGTATACAGAGACGCGTTAGAAACGGTTTATGGCGTTGTAACTCAGCCAACCTGACCGGCCATGCCACTTCGGCATCCCCCGTTTCGATAAAGTGACAGGAATTTAGCGTTATAAATTTTGCAAATCGTTACGTGATTCTTATACACGTTTTCTCGCGTCAGGGCCTTTGCATAGGCGTGTTTCAAGGTTTGGAATGATCTGTGAGAAGAGGTGGCGTGTGGATGGTAATCGACGTGGTCAGTTTAACGAAGACACGTGTGTAGTAACGTGTGTTAATTTTCAAAGACATAGATCCTTGTATCAAAATTTAATTTGAAAATCTGTCACCTACATCGGTCATCTTCGAATTTGAAAATAAATTTTTTGGAAAATGGATTTTATGTAAATGCGTATCCTAATAATTAGGGCAAGTATCGTGGTATGTTTCAAATAATAAAATGGAAGATGGTAGAGTACCTTTTTGGTAGATGGTAAATGGTAGAGTCCCTTGAAGGATAAATAAAATTAGGAAGGATCATTTTAATTATTTTTTAAATTAATTAAATGTCCAATTTTATCTATATTTTTTTTATTTTTTTGTTAATTGAGTATTGTTTTTCTTAATATTAAAATTAAAAGAATTCACAGGGAGACGTATTCTAATAATTAGGGCAAGTATCGTGGTATGTTTCAAATAATAAAATGGAAGATGGTAGAGTACCTTTTTGGTAGATGGTACTTAGATAGTAAAGTTCCTCGAAAGATAAATAAAATTGGGCAGGATCTCTTTAATTATTTTTTAAATTAATTAAATGTCCAATTTTATATATATATATATATATTTTTTAATTGATTATTGTCTCTCTTAATAGTAAAATTAAAAGAATTCACAGGGAGACTTTCGAGGAGACTTTCCGATTAAAATTCATCATTCCCACAAGCTGAATTAACAGGCTCACGAAAGTCGAGCCTGTAGCTGCTATGTAAACCAGGAAATCCGCAGAGAATCGCCTATGATTCACCCCATTCCCACCAATGTTCATTCGATCCATTCGTCACGCATAACAGTATCGACTCATCCCCGGCTGCGCAGATTTCTCCGGCGAGGAAGAAAGAATATTTCGCACATTCCGAATCGCTACGATTCCGAGTGACGAAACCCCGAGGACGTGCCCGAACGTGGGACGTAGAGCGCGGGAAACGCGAGTTACGACGTCGATTGCGTAAAAGGACGAAGATGTCGCGATCTGACACCGAGTTCTCCCCGAGTTCCCACCTCGTCCAACCCACCGCCATTTTCTTCTCCTCGTGCCTCTTCGTTTTTATCTTTAGCCGCGAGGACCCGCGTTAAGGGAACGGCTGGCGAATCTGCGCGGCAAGTGGATCGAGATAGAGCAGCATTGTTATTCCACGAGAGAAAGTGAACGAGGCCAATCTAGCGGAGGATCTTGGTTTTGCGCCCATCTTCGCCGGAAAGCGGCTGCCGCGGTACGTAAGTACGTGGAACACGACCGCGAGTTCTCGCGAGTTTCCTTCGCGTACCAGAATATCAGTGACATAACGGTGTGCCGCATTCCTGGAGGAGGCGCGATGAGAGGCACCCGTGAGAGGAGAAACGGAGGCCGATGGAATTCCACGCGGCCATGCGACGATTACTGCTATCCAGTATGCAGGGATGGGTCGTGTAAGTCTGACGGAGAAATATATTCGATCCGTTTCTCAGTATCTTGTCCTTGGCGGGTCGATTTTTCTCCAGGATGTTCATTTTCTCATCAACTGTCGTAAATCGAATCGATAAAATGAACAAAATACGCGATATCAACAGATTGCTTTTAAATAGCGGGTGCAAATAAGTTAGGCGCAATTCTACGTCCAAAAATACGTCGAAAATGTAGAATGAAGTTTTTTCATGGGAAGCTTCGTTTCGGAGGAAATCGAGCTTGAAGTAACGAGCGTGAACCGCGATGAGCACGCACAGAGGGGTTAGCGGTGCGCGCGGTCCGTCGTATCTTCGAGCTCGATTTTCTCGGGAACGAGGCTTCTAACGAGAAAATTTTATTCTTCCTTTTCGACTCGCTTTTGCTCGCAGAATATCCCGCTGTTCGATTTTTACCGCTCCGACGTAAAACGGCTCGTATATCGCGGTCATACTGCTCCGATCGTTAACCGATTTATTGAATCTCGAAGGAAACTCCGGGAAGAGCATCGCGAGGCGATATAATCGGTGAAAATAAGTTGCACGCGAATTCCTTTATGCCTCGCGAACCACGCGAGGCCTTTCTCCGGCTCATTGACACTTCCTATACTAAAAATGTTGCAACCGTGCGCGGTTGGTAACATTGTTTGCGCGTCGGATAGGGCACACGCGTGTGCACACGGGCTGAAATTCACTTTCACCTCGCACACGCCACATCCACGTCCCGAGCAAACGGCCAGGCAATGGTAACTCCTGCGGGGCCGACATGCCAATTACTTCATAATCCCCGGCTCAATTTCTCAAGAATTCTAGGCGAGCTGTTATCCCTCTGCACGGGTATCCCTGATGCCCTCCTGGCACACCGATGCTGTTTTCCAGCCGAGAAATCTCGATTGCCCTCGCGTGACGTTCGCGCGTTAGCGTGCCAATGAATAGCCCCCCGATTACGCCTCGAAGCTGCCATTTTCGGTGTGATTTTTCCGTTCTAACTTCACTCTATCGGCTGGTATTTGACATATTCAACGTGGAAGATCCCTTATAGAGTGTCATACTTAACTCGGTGTAATGTGTAGCGTAGAAAGTACCGTTTAATTTCGGTTTAGAGCAGGCGAGTCAGGTTGCATTGAAGGAACTCTAATGGTGGTTTAATATCTCGATTAGAATGTAATATAACAGCAATTTCTTTAATCGACGAGTGATCAGGGTATTTTTTCAGTGTCACAATTTATATATAATTTCTTCATCTACAATATTGCGTGAGACCTCGTTCAACGAGAATTGGCGGGAAATTTAAATAGCTGCATCAGACCAGAGTGTACACGAGCTGATCTACGCGTGAGATCGAATATTTCTAAATAAATTTTTCCTGTTTAAAATTTCTAAGTGTCGACCCTGAGCATTCACGTTCAAGAGCTACTTATCTGCGTCAGCAAGGTAAACCTCGCGACCGTTTTGTTTATATTTCTTGCCAATTCTCGTTGAACGGATTATAACCGAACACGAGAGCGACTATGAGAGGCGTGGTCTGAGGTTAGGGATCAATGTAAACATCACGAGTCAGGTGAATTTTCGCCGATGTTTTTCTGTCTTTATAAGTCTGACCTCGTCAGTTCCGTGTTATTCTTCGTTGTGATCGGATGGTATGGCTCCACGTGTGACCGACTTCGCTGTTATGGCACGGACATTGCAATTTCCACCGTATGGTGAGTGGTTACTATTGTAATATACTTAGAATAGTACTATTTGATCCTACTTGTGCCAGATATAGTAATTCATAGAAGAGTAGTTGTCTGTATTGAATTGAATCGATGTAATTTATTAATATATTGAATATTGGTATCACTGACTAATTTTCTAACAAACATTTAAAATGTGACAGACTGTTAAGAGGTTATTTAAAAAATTTCGCGAGCAGAATAGTTGCAAATATCAAGCAAAAATATTTTAACGCATTTAATGATTATAATAGAGTTGTAAAGGATTAGGAGACTAGGTCGGAAATGTCATAGATTTGAGGGAAGGATCGTTAGTCTTTGATTCGCTGTAGATCGAGGAATCGTGATTCTTCGACCCACTGTAGATCACTATACTTCACGTAGCGGAGTACGTGTGAAACAGTGTTGGCCGCGGTGTCATCGAAGTGCCATAGTAGAATAATAATCGAGCGCTCACCTGAGACTCCGTTAGCTGAAGATGGCACAAGAGGACGGCGACCCACACGGCCGCCAATTCTCTTATCAGCATATTCCTGTAACAGAGAAGAAAAGAGTCTTGTATGAACAGGCTGTTCATTAACATTGGAAATGAGAACACGAGCGCGGAACTGTTTGAACTGTATATAGCTCGAGGACTATGCTCAGACCTTGACACGTTCGAAATACATATGTAATTGCTCCTGACACGACTTTGGCTTCTGAAATAGCTCCTTACCCGTCAAACGTTATCGAAATCATTATATCAGTCCTCAAAATCCAATATTTGCCTGATTTTATTAGCACGTATAGTTAGAATTGACATTCTTATTAAAACATGACAGAAACCATAACAGATGACAGGACAATTATCAGATACAAGCAAAATAATTATGTCAATCTTTAGAATTCTATATTGTGTGATTTCATTAACACATATAGTTAGAATTGACTTTCTTTGGATCACAAAGCTTATTAAAAGATATCAGAAATCAGAACAGATGACAGGATAATTATCAAATGCCATCAAAAGAATTATGTCAATCTTCAGAATTCTATATCTGTCTGATTTTGTTATTGTTATTCAGTTAGAAGTCTAACCTCTGCATCCCCCTGAATCTTTCACAATCATTGGATCATGAAATTTATAAAAGATGTCAGAAACCATAACAAACGACGGGATAATTATCAGATCCCATCAAAATAATGATGTCAATCTTCAGAATTCTATATTTGTCTGATTTCATTAATTCATGCAGTTAGAAGTCTAACCTCTGCATCCCCCTGATTCTTTGACATTCATTGGATCGTGAAATTTATAAAAGATGTCAGAAACCATAACAAACGACGGGATAATTATCAGACCCCATTAAAATAATTATGTCAATCTTCAGAATTTTACCTTGGTCTCGTTTCATTATTATACGTTATTATAATTAGAAGTCTAACCTCTTCATCTCCTCCTCTCGATTTCTCTGAATCTTTCTCATTTTTTGGATCGCGAAGTTCATAAAAAGATGTCAGGGACCATAACAGATAATGAGATAATTATCAGATCCCGTCCAAATAATTATGTCAATCTTCGGAATTTTACCCCGGACTCATTTTATCATTATATATTATTATAATTAGAAGTCTAACCTCTTCATCTTCTCTTCTCTATTTCTCTGGATTTTTCTCCTTCTTTGAATCACGAAGTTCACAAAAAGATGCCAGGAACCATAACAAACGACAGGATAATTATCAGATCCCATTCAAACAATTATGTCAATCTTCGGAATTTTACCTTGGTCTCGTTTCGTTATTATACGTTATTATAATTAGGAGTCTAACCTCTTCATCTCCTCCTCCGGATTTCTCTGGACCTTTCTCAATCTTCGGATCACAAAGTTTGTAAAGAGATGTCAGGAACCATTACACAGGATGGGGTAATTAGAGAAAGTGAAACTGTCTTAACGGATCACACAGACGATTTCTATTGGATGTCCAGAAGAAAACGTGGAAGAAACACCAGGAATGAGGTGTAAGGTCGCTGTCTGAGCCTAGCTGTGGCTAACATTCGAACGCAGGGTTCAACGAGGCTTATCGTGCACTTGCAAAATATGCGGAAGATAAGGTTACTCTATGTATAGGATATACACCGGTTCCCATAAAATTCCTTACGGTTTCTGCGGCTGAATTGTGGCACACAAGTTGCATACCTTGCCGCGTAACCGAGAAGCGTGATAAATCTCCGTGGACACCGAGTTATTACTTAAAGACGTATTTCTATCTCAAAAAATCACGCAGCTACGTATAAAACGCGGAAATCGTGCATTTCCTAACTTAATCTACTTCGATCTATTAATCCTTCCCTTCCAATTTATCCTTCGATCGACTTCGCAGAACAGACATAATTCATCTCGCGTCATTTGGAAATTTCAAAAAATTAGAATTAGAAAATTGGAAAGGAAAAATAAGAGAATTATTTAACGACCACTTCAACGTACTAACTTTGCATACTAATCTTTATTCATTCGCGGCGTTATGTATTCAAGAATGTCTGAAAAATCGGTATTAGAAGCAAACAGGAAGACGTGATTTAATGAAGTCGTTAAACGATTCGCATAACTCGAATACGAGTCGTATTCGTTTTATCGATCCTGCCTACTACATATTCAAAATACTCGAAAATTCAGGAATGAAAAGGTAATAATGATCGGATGACGTAGACTTCGTGAATAAAAGAATGTAATATGGTGGAACGATTTATACGTTTGAAATATCAAGCTTTACATCCGCGGCCTGTAGCTTGTAGAAACTGTATTCTATCCTCCGTTATGCCTATCGATCTTCCCCGAAAATCCCCGAGGAGCAACAAGAGTGGAAGGAAGAAGTGCAGAAGATTCGCCCATGAATCAAGCGAGGCAGCAAACGAAGCGCAACAGGAGGCCAACGACTTCGATTTCTCCGATGAATCCGCCTCGTGAGCGGTGCGTTCGTCGCGGTGCGGCGTACGACGCATGCGCGGCGCGCAGAGTCCGGTGAATCCCCGGGGGAACCGTTATGCCTCCGCCGATAATCGACAGAGTCGCGGAGAGGTGAAGGTGGCGCGTTTGACTCGGCGCGAGTCCGGCCAGATTTCCCGCAAGCGTAATCGCAATCTCGGCGTGGCCAGCCTAGACGATACAGACTTCCTGCCGATTGCAGCTAACGGGTCTTCCGGCCCGGCCGAGCGATTAGCGTTGGTTGTTGCTTCGTTGGTCGAACGCGTGCGTGTAGGTTATACGTATGAATGCGTACGGATATATAAGTACGTACGCGAAGGTTGCAGGCTAGGTGATCGGAGGATAAATAAAACAGCCGCGTGAATCGACGATTAGAGGGACGACCTAATTGCACGTTTCGAGAGAGGGAAATGAGGCAGCAGCTGGTTCCTTCGGCAATGTGTACCGTTACCGTTATCCGCCGAGCTGCCATTGCATTGTCCGCCTCCATTTAATTAACTCTTCGGGGACGGACGTTAGAACTGAAGACTGTACGTGTTGCTTTCTTCCATTTCGATCGCTTCGAGGTTGACGGGGTTTATGTCACAGCATTTCTAACTGTGGGCATTTTAGATCGCGGTATTGTGTCGGGGATTTTTATCTCGCTCTTTTCAGATCCCCATGAAAGTGATGATATTTATGTGACGATAATTATGTTAACCCTTTGTACTAGAAGATTTTTTGGCTAGAGAAGAGTAGAAAATCAAAGATTCTCTATTAAAGAACTAACGATACTTTTTTTAGCAGTAAATAAAGAATATTATAATGATAGAATTGTAGAATTATTTGATTTCGATACTCTGCACACTGTTATATTACATTAAATTTGATATATTAATTAATATAGATCTTCCAAATTTTATGAAATGGTGACTGAGGGTCGCCTTTCAAGTGCAAAGGGTTAATTATTATTTGATATGAATTAAAATTTTATGTATGTTTATTTTCTCATAGGGGTAGAATATATACCTTTTCGTTTGTCTTGGGATTTTGGCAATTAATTTATTTTGACGTGAGATGAAGGAGATTGAAAATTAAATTACCATGTGAAGGTAAATGTCTTTGAAAAGAAGAATTTGTGAATGTATTTTTGGGAAAATTGAATTTCACCTTATTCTATTTCTTTTTAGATTCTGCATTTAAAAATTTGGATCCTTTGCGATTTTATTTTCTGTCATTCCATTTTTCCTAATTTTTATGCATAAAACATAGCTCTCTGTGTTTCAATTTAATTTGTCTTAATTTCAGGTTATTCTTTTGCCATTTATTAGGACAGTCCTGTATTCTAAAATTTCAACCTTTTGTGGTTTCCATTCTCTGTTCCTAATTCTTCTCTCGAATCTTCCTAATTTTTATGCATGAGATATAGCTCTCTGCGTTTCAATTTGATTTGTCAAGCAAAAATTTTGGGTAGTGTTTCCAAGTAGCTTCTCGACTGTAAACCATTTGGGACGAAGTATCGATTGCAATTAGGACAGCAAGGAATGCACGATTATTAATTAAAATAAAGGAACAGGAATTACTAATTAATTCCTTCTCGAAGACTCACCTAGTTCCCTCTTTTCAGTTTGGGTACAAGTAAGAGTGTTTTTACAGTCTACTTTCCTAATATTCAACGATGCTAAGTACCTCGAAATGAATGAAGAAGCCTCATTTTTTTCGAGTGGAAGTGTTTTATTACCAAGTTAGGAGGATGAAAGTATTAATGTAGCTGGTAAATAGAAAAGACAGCGACAAGGCTAATTAACATGCTTTCACGATTTTTTTCAACGTTTCTACTTGGGCGTGTGTACACACGAAGATTCTTAGGTAGGAATTTAAATCGTGTTCTTTCATGTCGTTCCACATGCTTATTCTTCCTTAAAATAGTCGTCACATACTCGGAATTCTTGGAACCTATAATTACACTGTCAAACTATTCGGCTGAAGATCCTTTTATTTCATTAGCAACCAAAGCACGGCCAAATCCGTACTCTCACTCGGTTCTTTTATAGCATAGCATACTCTGGAAACACGGTTTTCGTACAACGTGGTGTAAAATTGTTACAGGTCTTTTATAACACGATATCTATACAGCACTGTTTAATAACAAGAAAGAACAATCATTTCTATTTATATCGATAGTTCATTTAGGTACCTCAATAATTTTTTCCCTTTAAATAATAATTTCTTTAAACACCCCAGAAAATCATCTTTACATCCTATACCTATTATTTATATTATTTAGCCTAATTCAGAGAAACCACAACCACTGGTCTTCCTTCTGAAATTATGGTCCAAAGAATTTTAAAAGAATTCTAAATCAAAACCATCTCTACAGCCAGTCGTCATCCAAATTTCTCAAAATCAGGAAAAATTTCAAAATAATCCTCCATCTCTAACCTCATACCTCAAACCTAATCAAATTCGAGAACACCTCGATTGCTATATCCCCTTAAAAAATTTTGGAAGCAACCCTAAGTCATCCAAAATCCTGTTGAGATGTGGCAATCGCTGAAATTTCACAGAACGCGTGAACCATCTCAACCATT